AAAAAATCCCCACCTATATTTTGGGTGTTTTTTTTTTTTTAAAACATTTTTAAAATAAAAAAAAAAAAAAAAAAAAAAAAAAAAAAAAAAAAAAAAAAAAAAAAAAAAAAAAAAAAAAAAAGAAAAAAAAAAGAAAAGAAAAAAAAAAGTACTATCAGTACTATGGAATCTCTGGGGCCTGAAATGGAGTGGCAAAGAAATACCCAATAGCGGGGGCGCAGTAGCCAGGAGCCGATCAACAATACCTCGGGCTGGGCCTTCAAAAGTTTTTTTTTTTATGTATCATGATGAATATTGGATGGATCTAAGTCGTGCTGCGCGTCCCGGGAGTATCGTGATTCTCTTTAGATGAACGGTGAAGCATACATCGGCATTTTCCTTCGCTTATATTTTCGTGCTGCTCCCAAAAGCAGATTTGTTCTTCGATCATGAACACCACGATTTTGCAACGTCGACTAACGCTCAGAAAGCGATGAAATCACTGTCGGACTTATCTGTGAGGTACAGCGCCGATCTGGGAAATATTGACAATCTTGGTCCGGAGATGGTCCTTCTTGAAGTCATCGCATAGAAGCAGGAAGCGCAGCAAGGACAGGCTATCTAACTATGGCCAAGCCCACGTACGTCGTATCTTGAGTATATTGGAAGATTGGTCACTGCAGCGGATTCTTCTGAAGGTCCGCAAACCCGGACCTAAATAATTAACCTCTACCTAAGTGCGTACCTGGCTTCCCGTGTGTAACTAAAGGAAGCCAGTAAGGGATGCCCATAATCAAGCCACAGCGGGACTGACCAATGATCCCCTTATATACCTTCAACCTATTGACATGCAAGACACCGAAAGGGTCCGGACCGGGGAGAGGGTATTCCCGGAAAGGCGGTAATCAGCATATACAAATACGTAAGTATCTTATGACCACTATAAGCTAAGACTATTGCGCATGCGTGATGCAGAACCAATCAATGCCTTCCTCGATCAATGCTAACAAGGTTATAAGATCGAGCTCCTGGAGCTTGATTGTATGTAGGTACTCAAGGTGTTGTTGGTAGTAAAACATCTTGCCTTGAACCATATTGACTGCAGAAATATAACCCAGGACCTGAGTTAAGCAATCATATCCATCTAGGTAGCGACCATGTCAGCAGTAGCAACATTCGATAAAGAGGCCCTCGCGCAGGCGGCAGCGACGAGCGATAGAGCTACGCGTCGAAATCTTATTGTTGCCCTCCGCCGGATGGCTGACTCCTTGGAAGATAGTATCGGTACAATGCACAGATATGCGCACATTGTGAGACACCTTCTAACGTTAGATCCGTCGCGATTGTGTGGCACTTTAGCTAACAATAGCGCAGGAGCAAGAGAAGGCCATGATCCAGGTAGGCCTCGATTTAGGAATCTTCAAAGTCCTAGCCAAGGCCAATGGTGCAATGACGGTCGACGATGTTGCCAAGGAGACAGGGGCCGATCCGCTATTAATGAGTCCGCACAACTACAGAACGCCAACCTCTATATTCATGACCAACTAACAAAGCTATTCAGAGCGAATCTTACGGTTCTATAACGCCATCAACGTCGCACGAGAGGTAGGCCCGCACCAATATGAAGCCACCAACATCACGCACAACTTGACCGAGGAATTCTGCACAGTTGGCCTGAGCCATTTGTACGTACAAGTCCTATTAAACTAGAAACTCGCATCCTTCTCACATGAAGCACGTATATAGCTGGGGCTTCGTAGCCAAGCAGTACCCGTTCATCCCCGAGTTCCTCAAGGAGAACGGGTACCAGAACACGACGGACCCGAAGCACACGGTCTTCCAAAAAACATGGAACACGCCAAAAACACCCTTCGAATTGATGCCCACTCTCCCGGAAGCCATGGACGACTTCCACACGTACATGGCGCTGCGGCGGCAGACCGAGCTCTCCTGGCTGACCGTGTACCCGGCGCGCTCAGAAGCAGCCGGGCTAACGGACCCTCAGCGGCCGCTGTACGTCAACATCGGCGGCGGCATCGGCCACCAGTGCGCGCAGTTCCGGGAGAAGTACCCGGACATGCCGGGGCGCGTGATCCTGCAGGACCTGCCGGACGTGGTGGCGCGCGCGCTGCCGACGCCCGGCGTCGAGAACATGGCGTACGACTTCTTCGAGCCGCAGCCCGTGCGCGGCGCCAAGTTCTACTTCATGCGCGGCGTGCCGCACAACCACCCCTCGCACCGCGTCAAGGTGATCTTCGAGCGCGTGCGCGAGGCCATGGCTCCTGACTCCGTGCTGTTGGTCGACGAGGCGATGCTCCCGGCTACGGATGTGGGTTATGTTGCTGCTTCCATTGATCTGACTATGATGGGTGGCTTCGCGAGCATGGAGCGCACGGAGGATGATTGGCGCGACCTTGCTGAGAGCGCTGGGCTCGAGCTGGTTCGGACTTTTACGTATAATGCGCTCGAGCACGAGACTGTTATGGAGATGCGGTTGCCGCGTGGGAATAATGCGGTTAGCCGACACTAGAAACGGTTGTGTCTTGTTAAAGCTGGGTTGTCAATGGAAGACGCGAAGTCGTCTTGGAAAGGGAAAACAGGTATTGACTATAGCTACCTCGGTTCTTGGTCTTTTCAGTAACTCGTATCTCTATACATTCATTCACAAGAGCTCAGCCAATAAAAGCCATTCGGGGTATTTTCGTGATCATCTCTGGTGGCAAATTTGTATAGGTATATATTGACTGGAAAGGAAGTATAACTGTTCCTAAATCACATACCGTTAAGAAATTTTCCATAATTCCCGTAGTTGGACTGTTCTACCATCATATTCCAAGGTAGGCAGTCAAGAGGGTAGGTACTTGGAGATAGTCGTCGTGACGAATACTATAGGCTGGAGTTCTTCTGGCGTACTAATAATGGAAGGCCCAATGTGGAGGAGTTCATGCTTCATAGATACATTAAGGGGTAGAAATCGGACTGAAGCCAGACCCATATGGAGAAGCCGGTGTGGGCACAGGTTCAACACCAATAATAAATCAGATATGATCACAAAATCATGGAGATGTTAGTTGTCTCTCGTAGCTTTATTATATGCTACGATATAACGGACGAGTCATTCATACTCATCCAGAGCGCTAAGCCTGTACTCGCCTACATTCATCGGACGCAGACGAAGTACAGCTAACTCATAGATATTCTTTTTCAAGTGCCTGATTTCGTATCTCATAACCAATAAGTAACTATATACAATCCATCCCATCCCTTCCCATCCCAACCCAACTTAGCCGTGCCCGGATATCATCATCATCCCTTACCCTAACCCTACGATAACCCTACCCCTACCACTACTCCGTCTTCCCAAACCGTTCAATCCCAAGCTTAATCCGGCGATCAACAGTCTTCGCCATCCTCTCCAAGGGCAGGCGGTCGTCGATCCGCTTGACGGTGCGCTCGACGCGGGGCTCGACGCGCTGCGCGATGCGCTGCGCCCGCGGCGCGAAGTATCCGATGTTGCGCTCCCAGCGTGGCGCCCACCGCGTCGTCTGCGCCGCCAGCCGCTCCTCGGCCCCCGGCAGCATGAAGTAGAAGGGCGCGAAGCCGGCGACGCCCGCGAACCCGAAGGTCGCGATCTCTGTTGAGCGGGCTCTGGGGATGCGGACGGGCATTGTTCTTTTTGGTGTGCTTTGTTGATGAGGGTGTGTTTTAGTTTTGTTTGGTATTGTATAAGACTGACTGACTACCTAAGGTATGATGTAGGTACCTAGGTAGGTGAAGTTGGTTGATGAGGGAGGGGTCTTGTCAGGTCTGAGTCATGTAACTTCTGTTAGTTGTGGGGAGTGGGAGGCGATATCTAGATGAAATACGAAGAGTGTCGTACCAGATCGATAATCTGAGCCTGTGGAAGTCCTATGTTGTTGTTTGATAGTTCCTTGACATGCACCTGATGTAGTATCACTCTATAGTGATGGTAGTATTGATGGCGGTTGTCTTGCTGATTGCTCAAGGTAAGAGACTAGATGTGTGTAATGTGTAGAAGGCTGTGTCAGGGAAGGGAATCATTCTCTTTTAAAGGGGAGGGCAGAGGGCAGACCAACTTGATACCACCCCCTTTTCGCTGGTCCAAGTCAAAACCTGACCATCTGGTGGAGGGTAATGAGAGGAAGCGGGGTAAACCAATAACAGACGACTACGACGTTGCGTCAGAGTTCGAAGAACCAATCATCCCGGCTATATTAGAGGGTTGCCGTTGGTTACGATTCGCTAGAACCGGGTTGATATGCCGGAGAACAGTTTTACAGGATGACGGTGCCCTACCTACTACAGTCATTGCCCATGAGTATCCATTATGTCTCTCTGTTGCGGGAAAGCTGAGTTGCTGAGTCGTCGTATCAGCATGGATGCCATGTTGCATGATTTGCGAACCAGGAAGGCAAGGAGGCGGTACAAACGAAGGAGTTGGGGTATTATTGTATTATTACCTACTACGTACCACCTGCCGATCAGCTTGTTTGTGATGTCACTCGGCTATAAGTATCTAACCTTTAGCTCCTTCGTTTTGGAATTTTCAATTACTCTGGTTTGGTTATTGAACTTTTATACTTTCTTAACTAGACGGTAGTCTGGTAATTTGGTAATCATAGTGTATGTCCCACGTGTGACCGTTCTCACCAAGTGGGCGTTAAGGGACTTCCCCAGCGCGCTAAGTCTCCACCCCCAGATTTTCGGTGGGTCAAAGCCACTACGATGATTTGCTTAGGACTGATTTGGACCAATTCGAGCTCCACTCTTTGCTGGCTAGGCCCACAAACCGCTGACGGATTCAAGCACTTTCCCTGAAGCGGTCTAGCTACCCCGGATTTACCGTTTAGTCCTTTCTTACTCGTACTAACATTGTATTTTCTTTGCTTCTCTTCCTAGGTAGTTCATCAACTCGACCGAGTGCTCATTAAAGGTGCCACTTACTTCGGACGCAAATATTCATCATTGCATACCTACTTGAAAGTCCCGAAGTAGGTATTTTCGCTTTGATATTAGTTACGACATTCCTCTGAAGGAAATCATGCCCTAATCGGATGATATTCACTCGGTTCCAACTTTTCAGATGCATTATACATACATATGTAATTGAGCTCTGTCCATTGGAGATTGTACAGCAGCATACCTAGGCCGCTAGGCTGCCCTCGTATGATTTTCAGGCCATAATTGGGCTCACCCTGCTATCTAACAGCTGGCGCGTTCATCGACCCAGGAATGTCTCACTTAATGCGACCTCGTCGGAGAGCCGGTGAAACTGTCAATGGGTACCTGCCTATACGTACCCCAAATTCATTTATATGGATTATATTTCTAGCGATATCCGCCAGCATCTGACCAGACAATCCAATCGAAGTGAAACATAAAAACAGCTAGTCCAATGGCTTTCTTACTGTCTTACGTTATAGCGAGCAAGAGAGTCAACTCACTGGATATCAAACATCTACGGATAGCTCTCCTTTTTTTTATTAAAACCGACGAGACTACGTATAGGCACATCAAAGCACAAACGACCTACTTGCGCACGCACCTACTAAAGAAGTTAAGCATAAATTTATACCTAGGTACATAGCATCGTTTTCAAGTACACTGGCTCCTGATACATTGCCTTATGCTTTTAAAGCCATCCCTGGATGTTGACAACTGCCAGTTAAAGGGATATTATAGCGAACAAGAGAATCAAGTCGACGCTAAGCCAACATAGCAGCGGAGCCCACCGCCCGAGTTTGAAGGGTCATTGCTTCTTTATTATAGCAAAGCATTGGCCCCTATGACACGTCCTGCCTATAACCGCCCCTCAAGGCGCTCCAAACCCCCAAAACAAGCGGTTAGAGAGCGCATAGAAGAGTTACCCCCCATGATTGATGGAACAGCTGGATAATTCCGCTACAAGCACTACCTAGCAATCATAAAAAGCATTATTCCCATCAGGACAATAAATAAATTCGTCACAGCACGGACAGTCCTACCTACCTCCCGAGCTTGGTAGGTGGTAAATGCAAAAAGACATACAAACATTAACTTGGTTACAAAGTATCAATTAACTTACTACTTAAACCCAGTACTCGGGTATTTTCTACATGTTAGCGTCTATTATCAATGCAAGACCTTAAATCTCAGCCGGAGATTTAGTCTTAGCAAGGCCTGTAACGTTAGGACCTCTGTTCAAGTATTCCTTTAGCATAGCAATCGTCTTAGGCTCCATAGGCCTCTCGCGGATCGCGTAGTAGATAGTAAACCACTCCAACGCGTTCTCGTCTCCAAGTTCGGCCGGGAAGTAATCGCTCAACAGCTCGCAGCTATTGACGAATTCCCACCAAGATGGGTAAAAACCGGCTAGCCCCCAGTTGAGCAAGCCGACGAAGTTGCCGTCCTTGACCATTACATTCTCCTCGTGAACGTCCGAATGCGAGAAAGTAAAGGGGAGGGCAGACGGCATCTTGGCCATGAAGCGGTGCATCGTATTCAAATCTACGTTGTCGTCGATGGCAAGCGACAGGTTCAGACGCAACTCGGCGTCGGTCGCGCAACCCGAGTAGCCCCGCCAATAGGAGTCGGGCAACGGCTTGAAGAGGCGCCGGTCTACAACTGGACGCCCATCAAGCATCTCCATCAATGGCGAAGTATTGTTCTTGAGTTGGCGAAGGTATTCACCTACCTGTTCACCGATACGCTTGACGTCTCCTCGAGCTAGGTTAGGTAGAGCTTTGTCTAGGGACTCACCTTCTAGGCGTTCTTCGATAGCGAGAAATCGAGTTCCCTGTTCCCAAGACGCAACAATCTTAGGGAGTGGAAGGGAAGTGTGTTCTGCGACGAAGTTAATGTTTTCAATTTCGGCTTCCATGTCGTAAACGTACCTACGACTTTTTAGGACATAGTCGGTGGCTATGGCCCATGGGTATTCCTCGCCTGTCTTTTCAACGAATTGGTCGGTCAAAGACGTATCATATTCAATATGGGGCTCAGCCTCTTGCTGCTCAAAGGTTGTGTCGGGGAAACGGGCCGGCATCTTGACAATTGTCAGTTCTCTAAAAGTTATTGTTGAAGTTGAAAGTAGTTATGAAGATTGAACGTGATTGGTTATTGGTACGTAAGTGGTTTTTTGCCCCTTTGTGTGGTTTGTCACTTCTCTTTATGGTGAGATGTAGGTCTTTATATACTCAAAAATTGAAGAGCGTGTGTATAAGTCGTTTGATAACAACTAAGACCGCCAACGATGCCAGAAAAATAACAAGGGTTCGAGAACAACCGTCTTGTCTTAAATTTGGGGAGTTAAGCTGGTTGGTTAGCACCTGAGTACTATTGACATTTAGGTCCACGGGTACCTACCTACCTAGTGGCTAGCAAAGGTTCAGCCAGTAAATAATCGGCTCTCTTTAAAGAGAATTGGAAGACATGCATTTACTACTATGTGCTATTCGTATGAGTATTAGCAATTTTGAGGTCGTGTCGATCTGCTTACTGATGAAGTAGAAATAGAATCTGCGTGTCCCTAAAAAGGTCTAGGCAAAGATTGATCTTGGCATTATCACCTTCTATTCTCGGCTGATTTGCCGTGCAATCGTTATCAGCACCCAGCCCGGATATCGTGCAATTTGCCCGCGATCCCTGGAATGCATATATCCAAGGCAAGGGTCGTATCGCGCATGTCAGGGGAAATGTCGTGCTCGAGGTGGAATCGGTATCCTATTTCTTTCGAACGTACGACTCGTCACCGTCTGCGTTCTAGGAACCTGATTGAGCAATTGAGGAATCAATGTCGATCTCAAACCTCATGAGCGACCGCGTGCGCGCCATGTTTACGAAATGGGTACTGCTGGTTACTCTCCTCGTTGGGTTGTCCGTGGCACATCCCGACGCGAGATATCCACCGCAAAAGATCGTTGAAAGGGATGCAAAGGTAGCGCGCAGTCCTTTTGCCAAATTCAAAGATCTCGTAGCCGGCGAAGTAGGTGTCTCATCGACTAACGACGCGCCTGCTGCGACGACCACGCCGTTGGAATGCTTCCAAGTTGCCCAACCAGTGTTGACACCCCAAGGAGCTCTGTTCCGCGACGGCGCCGCGATCACTGGAGATGGAATCTCGGTTTCAACTGAAGATGAGGTTGCCCACACGGTAGTGTTAATGGTGCATTCGTTCGCGAATAGTTATGGTGCTCCCTTCGTTGGTATGGTTGAATTGACGAATCTTGAACGAATTATTCAAAATTCTAACATGAACAAGCCAATTACACCCCTCCAGACTACGATTTCGACCACGTCGTTATCAACTTCACCGTGGAGGTAAAGGGACGACAGTATGATCGAACGGGCATTTTTTACCTCACTGACACCGAAGTGTGGAGAACGTCAACTGCCGAGCCCACCTCGTACGGCATTCGTTGGACCTGGCTCAAAGATCTAACTCCATTCTTGTCCCTCTGGAAGGAGCCGCAAACTTTGATTTTCGACCTTGAAAGCATTGTAGATGATACTTACACGGGCATTCTTAACACGACGCTCACAGCAACTTATTGGAAGTCTTCTTCGGTCGCGGCTAGCGGTCGAGGTCCCGCCGACCTGATCATCCCTATCTCCGAACGCACGGGCTCTGAGGGGCAGCCAAGCCAGTTTACCTACCCGGAGCAGAATGCGACTAATACGGTCAGCTTCCCTCGGAATGCAAACCGCGCCGTATTTACCGTAGATGTTAAAGGCCAGGGCGACGAGGAATTTTGGTGGAGTAACGTGCCGCAGAGCGCGATAAACACGTTCGATGCCGAATACGGCGTGTACCCCGGTTACTCACCATTCCGCGAAGTCCAGGTCCTAATCGATGGCCAGCTTGCCGGAGTGGACTGGCCATTCCCCGTCATATACACGGGTGGTGTGGTCCCTCAACTGCACCGGCCAGTTGTCGGAATTCAAGCTTTTGACATCAGGGAGCACGAGATCGACATTACCCCTTGGCTACCGCTTCTCTCCGACGGAAACAATCACACCTTTACGATTCAGGTCCTCGGTCTAGATGACGACGGGGTATCCAGCGCGACGCTCTCCTCAACCACGGACAGCTCATGGTACATCACGGGCAAAATCTTCGTTTGGCTCGATGACGCAGACTCCATCACGACCGGGACGCTAGGCAACTCAACCGCCAGCGAGCCCAGCATCTCCTTCTCTCAACAGATCACGCAAAACTCCACCGGCTTCAACGAAACCCTCGACTACACACTAGCCGTAACACGCACGTTCTCCATCAGCTCGTACGTCAAGACGCAGAACGGCGAGGGCACGGCGACGTGGACGCAGTCCCTCTCGTACTCGAACAACGGCGGCGTCTACGCCTACGGGTTCGATAACGTTAACACGTTCGGGATCTCGGGCGCCGACGCGGCCACAGGCGCGGGGCTCGACTATAACTACTCGGCTAGCTACAGCTACCCGCTGTACTGCAGCAGCTCGGCGGCGTATTCGCCCGAGGGCAACTTGACGCTACGCGCTGATCTCAACCAAAGTTTAGTCCACGAAGTCCGGGGCGATTCTGTGTTCCCCTCCGGCCTTGAGGCGTTCGCGGGAATTGACGCTACGGATATATCGCAGTTCTCCGGCGCGGTGCTGAGCACCTGGAAGAACGGGTCGGCGTTATACGAGGCGGCGGCTGATAACAGCTACAGCACGGGCGTTGGTTCGGCGCACCAGGTATTCTCTTTTGGAGGAGTGAATGGCGATGATGATGAGGCGACGCCACATAGCACGGAGCTGTACTTCCGAGAGGTTAGTGCGTATAATGATACGGTCACTAACAACTCCGTGCTGTTGTTGGGGAAGGCCGTACAATAGAGCTGGCCTAGAGTATGACGTTGGTGTCATTTTTTAGGATTGGTAATGTGAATATGGATATGAACTGAATTATATGCAAGCGGATTTAATATACATACATATATATTTCTTCATGGAAAATTGATGTAATATTTTATTCCCTAAAGACTTCGTTGAGTCTGATTGAGTGAACGTTCAGCTACCGATAGTATGCGTCTACCCAGTTTTACCTAATGATGAAATATGCTTGTATTGAGACAATTTCGTCAAATCTGACTTTTCACTTTTCACTTAACTCTAAAGTACCACTAGATACTTCAACCAGTGGTACTTTTATATCTCATTTTCAGGGGCGAAAGCACTGGTCTTAACAAATCGATTTACAAACTGAAGGTCGCTCTTTTATTCCGCGTAGCATACCATCTCATTTCATCTCATCAGAAATGGAGGAAGATCGGGCGCAAACCGATCTAGGCATCGCCGCAGACATCGAAGAGGCCCATGCGCCACCCCCAGCAGCACCCTCATCAACACTAAAACAGCCCAAGAAAAGATTCATAGGGCGAAGAGCCGCCGCAGCCGGTGCCTCGCGGGCTAGCAACGATGGCAGCCCCCTAACACCAGAAAGCGGCGCCGTGCAAGCAGCACCCCCGCGGCGCGCCCCCCGGCTGCTCAACCAAGTACCCCCGGAGATCCTCAACGACCCGGAGCTGCAAGCGGCCATCTCCCTCCTCCCGGCAAACTACTCCTTCGAGATCCCAAAAACAATCCACCGGATCCGTTCCTCGGGAGCGAAGCGCGTAGCCCTACAAATGCCGGAAGGGCTCCTCATGTTCGCGACGACAATCTCAGACATACTAACGCAATTCTGCGCGGGAGTAGAGACGCTGATCATGGGGGACGTAACCTACGGCGCGTGCTGCATCGACGACTACACGGCGCGGGCGCTGGGGTGCGACCTGCTCGTGCACTACGCGCACAGCTGCCTGATCCCCGTCGACGTGACGCAGATCCGGGTCCTGTACGTCTTCGTCGACATCGGCGTCGACGCGTCCCATCTCCTCGCCACGCTCGAGCGCGGCTTCGCGCCCCCGAAGCGGGTCGCCCTCGTCGGCACCATCCAGTTCAACGCCACGATCCACGGCGCGCGCGCCGCGCTCGAGAGGGCCGGCTTCGGCGTCCTCGTCCCGCAGATCGCGCCCTTGTCTAAAGGCGAGATTTTGGGGTGCACGTCCCCGCGGCTGTCGGATGATGAAAACGTCGATTTCATCTTGTATCTTGGAGATGGCCGTTTTCACCTCGAGAGCATTATGATTCATAACCCGGCCATCCCGGCGTATAGGTACGATCCATACTCGCGCAAGCTGACGCGCGAGACGTACGGGCACGAGGAGATGCAGAGCCTGCGCCGCGAGGCCATCGCCACGGCTAAGAAGGCTAAGAAATGGGGTTTGATACTCGGATCGCTGGGCCGCCAGGGAAACCCGCATACCATGGCGCTCATCGAGAAGAAGCTGGAGGAATTAGGTATCCCATACGTGAACTTGCTGCTCAGTGAGATATTCCCCGGGAAGCTGGCTATGATGGCTGATGTAGGGTGCTGGGTCCAAGTCGCGTGCCCGCGTCTGAGCATAGACTGGGGGTATGCGTTTCCGCGGCCGTTGTTGACGCCTTACGAGGCGCTGGTTGCGCTGAATGAGCGCAAGGACTGGAAGGAGAGCGGCGTGTATCCTATGGATTATTATGCTAGGGAAGGTCTGGGACGGACGAGGGAGGTAAAGGTTTCTAGTTGAAAGCTCGATATAACAATATAAACGTAAAGTGAAGAACCAAATGTCATTTACCTACTACTTATTTAAAGGCCCCTTTCATTTACGGAGGCGAGAGAACATGATATTTCTGAGTCTCGTCATAAGTATGTGGTAGAGAAATGCTTGTTTAAAAGCCACTCACTCTCTTATAAGAGGCATTGTGAAATCCAACATTCGAAACTCATTAAAAAGGCCAGTAGCAGAAGCTATTCATTATCAATCCGTAATTAATTTTTATGTAAGTTCTACGGCAGTAAGAATACTAGGTAAGGTATTACAGCACTAAGGACCATAAATAAGTTCCCTCTTCTATGTACCGCGCCGCCGCTCCTTTGACTACAACCATTATCATTACCACCCGCACCGCGTCCGCCTACCTAAGACGTCGTGGTATCGTTAATGCTAAAGACGTAGCTAGCCTGCAGGACGTACGGGTCACCGCCGGGGCCGTAGATCTGCTTCTTCTCGCGCTGCCACTCGGGGTGGTTGATAGCATCGATCCAGTCCTCGACCTCCATGACGAGACACCCGTATTGGGGGATCGTGCGCGGGAAGTCTGGGTTGTCGTGCAGACCCTGCGTTGTCTTGAGGGGCATGGTCGCGTTTTGGCTGTTGCACGAGTACATCTGGAAGGCTTCCTGGTCGGTGTACACTTCCACTTGGATGCCCGACCACTCCGAGTGCAGACGCGCGACGAAGTCGCCTTCCGCGTGCCAGTCGTAGGGGCCGTCTTGGCTTCGGTTGATGAGCCAGCAAGTATCTGAATGAACCACATTAGTCTTCCGATAATATTTGCTTTCAGCAGGATTGGAATTTACCATAACCGGTACAGTTGAAACCGCAATTTCCGTCTGCTTCAGGCTTCTGGAGGTCAGCTCCGATTTGCTTCGGCGCGCTCCAGAAGTCATTGACGGATCCCTGCTTGTTGGCTACAATATCGCCCGTGGGGATTAGGATGTTGTCTACACCGACTCGCTGGCCACTGTGAGGCAGGTAGAAGGTGTGGTTCAGAGCGGTGTTGGTCTCGTTGTTGGCGTAGCCGTCCAAGTTCCAGTACACGTGGCTGCTAAGCATGATAGGCGTTTTCTTCGTAGTTGCGAGGGCTACCATCTTCAAATCCCACGTCATGTTGCGGAGGGTGTAAGTAATATAAGAAACAACCTCTCCGGGAAACCCCTCTTTGCCATCAGGATCGACGATGGAAAATGTTATACTGTCGTTTGTATGAGAAACGACAGTGAAATTCCGGTAGTCCCAACCGTCGGGGCCGCCATGTAATGTGTCGGCGCCTTCGGGAGCCTGTGCAGTGGGGTTCTCATTGGGAGTGACATGGTAGGTCTGACCATCAATCTCAAAGGTGCTATTCTGGATACGGTTTGCATATCGACCCGGTACACCGCCGAGATGAGGATGGACAGGATCAAGCGTATAAGCTGTAGCATTGTCGAACCCAGCTACTAAATCTCTTTCAACGCCATACTTGTCGTGAATCAAGAGCCTTGAGACCGAGGCTCCGTATGTGATAAATGCAGCTGTGATACCCTCGCCATAGATCCAATACAAGCCGTTCTCATCAGGCCCGGCACCGGTAGAGTTGGTAGACGAATTGCTCCCAGACTGAGCTGAAGCAAGTGGGAGCAAAAGCCCCAAGGACGCGAGACCAGTGTGCAGACGCATGTTGACTCGGGAGTGAGACACGCTTTGTTTGTTGACACTAGTGCTTTGTGCTCGTCGGAATTGACGGTAGACGGAGGGAGAAGAGAGGCAAGCTAGAATCGAAAATCTTTCCGGGGAAGGATTCGCGACTTATATGAATTCAGCCATCAAAGAAGCAAACGCCCAAACCCCCGTCGGGCAAAACATGATTTGGTTGGACAATGGAAGCACGTACGCAAATTCATCACGTTGTCTTCTGACAGGGAGTAGGGCTAGGGAAATTTATTAATCTCACCTACATTTGAACCATGTAAGCCCCGGACGATCCCCAGCTACGGCTTTGCTAGCCCTGTTTACCCTGTCGAGCTACTCCGCTCCTTGGAAAAGTTGGGGTAATCGACGTAACTAACAGGCAGCGTAGCATCGGCCTCATAAAAACCATGTGGTGGAACGGCACGAATACAGCAGGTCGCTAATGTACCGCTGTAAGTTGGTAGTTAGTTGGAATTCGAAAGGGCCCGTGATTCGTCCGGTTGCTGAAAATGTTTAAGGTCATTTGGCTCTCTTTGTCATTGCATGTTTGCGGGTCACAGTGCAGGTAAGCAAGCTTCGTGCTTTTGGTAGTAGCCATGATCCCACGAGAACGGATCGCTACCACTGAAGGGCTGAAATGTAGGGCACCTGTTACGACTTCGGAAAGGTGACGAGGCGGTATAGAGACAATACATTGTGTTACTTGACAGCATCAATCAACATTGAACGAGTACTTTTACGAGAAGGATTCCCTGCCCATGCTGCCCATAGTAAAGACAAGAGAAGAAATGATCAACACAGCACCGGAGAGTTCGCAGCTCTTCGAATTCGCATCACTACCAATCCTCAGATTAAAGTGAAGTAAGATACATTTGTGGGAAATTCACAGAGCTACGGTTAGAGGAGCTTCGTAGCCCGAAGAGGTAAAGATTCGGGTTCGGCTGAAGACTACTTCAACCGGGCATCGTATTTCTCCATTGGAGATTTTGTTGGAGATCCATGGCTTTGTTAATGACGTTGGATACTGCTGTGAAGTATTAAGCTGCAAGAGACATCCTGTGAAACCCCAACCTCCTCGAAGAATGCTCGTGTGCCTTGCATATATACCTACATTCCTCCCACAAGCGTTCATAACTCGACATTAGATTCAGTACAAACACGATCGTGGAAGATTCCGACGGCGGACAGTACATGAATCAAAGTCTTCGCATCTTAGGATATCCTCGTACCCTATTCTCGGTCTTTTTGAATAGCCGCTGACGTCGTTAGCAGAGCTGCTGACTTCGCTTATAAATGACATATGAAGAATATGAGAAAACAAAAATGAGGAGAGAAAAGAGCGGAAGGAGAATACTTGGCTGTGAATGGTGGATTTCTAAACTCAACTGTAAGGATTATGTCAAGGACCGAATTCCCCATGTTCTTTTAAGGTTCCACTACTCGTGCGGGGTAGATGCTACCTGAGCTTGCCCCTTTTGAGTATGGTCCAGCGAGCCTTAAATTGCTTGGCAAGGGTACCTAGATCCTTCAAAGCTTCCCCGCGCTCTGCCGTCCAGTCTCTTTAGTCTCTCTTTCATCATAATTCTCGCATTTCGTCGGCCCGCCTCAGCTGACCATATTTCGATGGTATGAAGTTGATCCAGATCAGCCGAATACCGCGTATTCCACACCTTAGCCCTATGTAAGGGATACCTTGAGGCTTAGTCTAGTCACCTATGATCACTTTGATCTTGAGGGATACCTATTTTCTTCTCTCCTTTCATTTCATACAGAAGTTCAAGATTTCTATAGGATGAAAGGGGTCCAGAACAGGCGAAAAGGATAACGGAATGGTTCTCTTGATCGTTTATTTTGACCTAATAGCAAATATCCAGGTAAGGTACCTTGGTTACACAATAGTCTAATAAACCAATACCAACCCGTTAAGACCGAACTCCGGGTGAGACCCATGTGGAGTTGTTGCCGAGTTTCCCGGAAATAGAACCTCGAGGCGTTTGCTAGGTAATTATCATTAAGACTAAACTGTTTGTTACACTTAGGGAGGTCATCTTTAACCAGCTAGTCTATAATCCTGATATACCTAATTTGCTGTATTCTTGGAGACGAGGTCAGGTTTGTGTTCAACCCTTGTTCTTCGTTTGCTAAGGACTCCTCGTTTATACAAGTAGCCTCTTGTTTCAGAAACATTTAGAAGGGATGTTGCTATTAGATCCTTCCGAGTCCAGTGAAACGATCATTGTATTGAATGCTGATGATAAGTAACCTGTACTCCGCCTGTACTACTAAACTATACACATCCATCCATCCGTCATACTCATCCTCAGTTGGTCGACACGCTTATACGTCGACAAGGTTCTCCTCTTGAGCACCATCGGTGTCCTTAACACCCTTATCATTCTTCTCCTTGCCCTTACCCTTTCGGTCCGCAGCCGATCGTTGGTAGTATTCCTGGATAATCTTGGCAGGAATACGGTTGAGTAGCTCCTTAGGGAAGATACGTAGGAGACTCCATGCGATATCTAGAGAGTCGAAGATACTTCTTTGTTCGTATGCGCCCTGAGCGACGAATTGCCGCTCGAATTTCTCCAAGAATTCAAGGGATAACTTATCTTCAGCCGACAAGGCTTCCTCACCAACGACAGCCTTCATAGCCGCCGCATCACGACCAATGGCGTATTTGGCGTAAAGCTGGTTGGACACATCACCGTGGTCCTTTCGGGTCATTCCCTCACCAATAGCAGACTTCATGAGACGAGAGAGAGAAGGCAGCACGTTGATGGGCGGGTAGATACCACGGTTGTAAAGCTGACGATCGACGAAGATCTGGCCCTCGGTAATGTAACCCGTCAAATCAGGAATAGGATGCGTGATATCATCGTTTGGCATAGTCAAGATAGGAATCTGGGTGATGGAACCGTTCCGTCCCTCAACACGACCGGCTCGTTCGTAGATGGTGGACAAATCAGTGTACATGTAACCGGGGAAACCACGTCGACCAGGCACTTCTTCTCGGGCAGCAGAAACTTCTCGGAGAGCATCGCAGTATGCGGAGAGATCCGTAAGAATGACCAGGACGTGCTTCTCGAGCTGGTAAGCATAGTATTCGGCGGTTGTAAGAGCAAGACGAGGAGTGATGATTCGTTCAATCCTATATATCGTTAGTCGCATATACCATAAAAAGAAGTGTAAGACCGTCATACGTAGGGTCATTTGCAAGGTTGAGGAAGAGTGTGACACGTTCCAAGCTGCCGTTCTCTTCAAAGTCGCGAGTGAAGAACCGGGCAGTTTCCAAGTTGACACCCATGGCGGCGAACACGATGGAGAAGTTCTCTTCGTGGTCATCATGCACACCCTTGTTCGTGGCGCCCTTTTGCTTGACCAAGCCAGCTTGTCGGCAAATCTGAGCAGCAATTTCGTTGTGAGGTAAACCGGCGGCGGAGAAGATTGGGATCTTTTGGCCTCGGGCAATCGAGTTCATGGTGTCGATAGTCGAGATACCGGTCGAGATCATTTCTTCGGGGTACACCTAATTCATAATGAGTTAAATTCTCTCGATTTACGCCTCGGAATCACGTACTCTTGAGTAAGGGTTGATAGGGCTGCCGTTGATGTCGAGATAGTCCTCGGCCAGCACCTTTGGACCTTTGTCGATAGCTCTGCCAGATCCATCGAAGATACGCCCCAGCATATCTTCGGATACACCCAGCTTCAAGCTTTCTCCCGTGAATTCGACTTTTGTTTTCTTGACATCGATACCTGACGTGCCTTCGAAGACCTGGACGACCGCACGATTGCCTATGATGCGGAAATATGGTTAGGAGCTGTAACGATTCCCAGCTAGCTTTTATATTGCTCACCTCGGGCCTCGAGGACTTGTCCAGATCTCTCGGTTCCATCGGGAAGCGTAAGGGTTACGATTTCATTATAACGAGGGAATTTGACGTTGTCTAATATAACCAAAGGTCCATTGACACCGCCGACGGTGTTGTACCGAATCCTCGGCACGATGGAGTAAGAGGAAGATTCTCGAGGGTCGGACATGGTGTCCCAAGATGGAAGCGAAGGCGGTCCAAAGGTGTAGTTGAGGATTCAAGTGTTGCTCCTCCTAATGAAGCAGCCCAATTATTATTTGCTATAGAGCAACGTTGTCGAGCTCCAGCCACTGTTGACGTTGGATTGCAGAGGGAAGCTCCTAAAACCGGGTCCGTTGCAGAAGCTACCGATAAGCTGGATGGCGCAGTAAAAGGTGGGGGTGATGACAGCCACAATTGGTAAGGTCACATGATTATGTAATGGAACAGGTGGTCCGTGCGAGTATAGGGGTAACTCATTCAGGGGCTTCAACAGTTCAACTGAGTCCATTAAGCTATCAAGTTTCATACAACAGTAAGTAAACAACAAGCCGTCATAATTAATAGTGTATGAAGATAATATATTCTATCAAAACTAACTGGTATCTTGGGAATGCAATACTATAGCTCGTAGATGTTGAGTGAAGCTTCAACAGAAGGAAGTTGCTACTTTGATACCGAGTTCAGGACGTTCCTATCGTATTAGTTTGTGCATACCAGAGAGGTAAAGAGCTACTTGTCATTTTGTCAGATAACTTCCAATCTTCTCTAAATGAGAGTATAATAAATTTAGACTGTTCATGAACAACTGTTCGTCAATCTGAAGCTTTACTCATCATGCACCCAGTATCGAACAGCAATATACGCTTATAACGTGCACATTAGACGAGGAACAACGACCTATTTCAGCAATCCTTTCCATCAAGAGCTTATGCCGCCATTCTAATTGGATTTACCTAATAGCTTGTTTGATGCCCCCAAAGCCGACTTGACATGTTGAAAAGTAGCAATGAGTTCCTCAGCGCTGGCACTCCCCCAATACAAACCGATTCTTTGCGGGGAAGAGTGTTATTGTGCTATCTGCGGCATTCCGTTTGGGACTTTCCTTTACAAAACTAGACGCCAAATTCACAAACAAGAACCGCCTGTTCTCCTCAACGGAGTCGAAATTGGCTATGATTGGAAAATCCTTGGTGGATTCTCTAAACTTGCATGGGTCAAATTGATATATTTTATCGGATATATTCCAGACATAGACGAGTGAGTGCCTTCAACTTTAAATGAATATTCTGGGTAGCTAATCATTCAGAACAATTATATCCGGCTCAGCAAGACTCACGGCCCCAGGGGTGATCGAGCTCTATCCCGATGATAAACGAAATGAAGACGTACCTTCTGAGTTCGAATATGAGTGCTACAAAGTCAGTGACGACAGGGTGACCGTTCACCCGTTTCACTGGTCATGCTTCGAAATATTCGCGCGAGTGCTGCATCCGAAGGCGGACGATCCAACTCGTCTTGTAGACGTATGCGATCTTGACTCGACTTTCGCCTCTTTGTCGAACTGCCTTACCGGGTTAGAACTTTACACCGGTGCTGATAGCCGACAAGGAAAGCCCTAGGGAAGCGTAACAGGTGAAGAGTTTTACGTCGCGGATCCAGCAGGTTCAGCTCAGCTAACGTTTCGGGTGGGAGCGATTATGGCGGGCGAGCGGTTCAAAAAACCAATTTCCAACATGGACCTTAGCTCCAAAGTGAGACATGATCCTTTTAGGAAGCTACCGCATGTCGCTATCTGCAACATCCTTCATCTACTAACCCCCAAGGGATTGCTTGATGTAGTCAGGGCTTCTTGGACAGTTTATTTCCTTGTTCGTAACAAACATTGTTTTTGGAAGAGCGCTCTTAAGAAGACTATGCCCTGGTTCTTCGAGATACCAGAACTGATGCGCGTAGGCGCGTTGCGGCGACCAGAGCACTACAGGGGAATATACCTGTGGGCGGAAAGAATTTGGCCACGCAAGAAGCTGACAGGGCCTTTGATGAATATCGCAAACCGCCGGCGGATTTGGGTAGTATGCGAAGTATTAGCCGATAATTACATGGGATGCTTTAAGCCAAAAACAAGCGAGTATGAGTATGAGGACGATGGCGAGGAGGAATAATTGGAATAACGGATTGCTGCATTGTTCGTTTTAGGCAATAAAAATGCATCGATACGACCATCACGTGATGACAAGTATGACTTCATAATCCCGAGTTGCAGTTATAGGCTAGAGCCACTAATAACCGAGCTCCTCTTGCAGCATTGGAGGGGAATTTGAAAGCCAAAGAATGTAAGAAAACGGCAATTATAAGCATGAAAAGGACAATCAAAGCTTAAACTCCCGAAATGAATAGGAGATGGCGTCGGTGCGCCCCATGATTCGATTGGCCCGCTGGCGGCCTGTTCCGCAAGCTTCGCGCTTACGACGATGCTTCGCGACAGCGTCCGACGTGAAAAACCCGGCCGCATCATCCCGCCCCGACAACCGAGTGAGGATAGTAGAAGTTGGACCAAGGGACGGCCTACAAAATGAGAAGAAGTCGATCCCGCTAGCTACCAAGATTGAACTGGTCGAAAGGCTAGCGAAGACGGGAGTATCTTTCATAGAAGCCGGGTCTTTCGTCTCCCCAAAATGGGTGCCACAAGTCAGTCTCCCTAGGTTCGCGAATACATTTCTGGTGCTAACTCAGTGAATTACATTACTCAGATGGACAACTCCGGCGCAATCCTAGAGCACATCCTAACCAACAAAATCCCCTCTCCGGTCCCAATCACATACTCCTTCCTCGCGCCCAACGCAAAGGGCGTCGAAAACGCCTCCGCCCTCCTGCAGCAGCACCCGGGGACCTACCTGACGCAAGCCGAGTCGCTCAAGGGCGTCAGCGCCAAGCCGGCGGTCGAGCTCGCCGTGTTCGCGGCCGCGACCGAGAGCTTCTCGCAGAAGAACCTGAACACGGACATCGCGACGTCGCTGGACCGGTTCCGCGACGTCATACAAGCCGCGAAGGCGCTCGGCCTGCGCGCCCGCGCCTACATCAGCGTCGTGCTGGGATGCCCCTTCGAGGGCTACGACGTGGACCCGCACCGCGTGGCCGAGATCGCGACGTCGCTGCTGGAGATGGGCGCCGACGAGATCTCGCTCGGCGACACGACGGGTATGGGAACCGCGGCCCGCACCCAGGAGCTGCTTAGGTGCGTCGCGGCCGCGGGCATTCGGAAAGAGGATGTCGCGATGCATTTCCACGATACGTACGGCCAGGCCCTGGTTAATACGGCGATCTCGCTCGAGCACGGCATCAGGACGTTTGATAGTGCCGTCGGAGGCCTCGGCGGCTGTCCGTATAGTCCCGGGGCTACCGGGAACGTGGCGACGGAGAACATGGTTTACTTCGTCGAGAGCCTGGGCATGGAAACTGGTATCGATCTTGATGCTATGGCGGATATCGGACAGTGGATCTCGGATGAGTTGGGTAGGCCGAATGAGTCGGCTGTGGGTAAGGCGGTGCTGGGGGCTCGTAAAAGGGGGGCTGATGGATCCTCGTGATTGTGTAGGTTGTAACGGAAATAAACATCGTACGTATGGATTTCTTCTAGTGTGGTAGGGAGATATGTCTTATGAGTTAACATGACATTTCTTTTTCTACTGGAAAAGAGCTCAACTGCATGTAGTCCATGTACAGCTTCACAAAATCACAGCTATAGCCTAGACTGTTGCCTACTAGACTAGTGAAACAAGTTTGAGAGCTATGGATGGCTGTAAGGAACAATAAACAGCAGGCCTATAAGAAATTCGCAATATTGAAACCGATGTATAAGTCACCTCGAGGGTATACATGAACGCTCCTAGGTGTTAAAATAGGGCTAATACTACTACCCTCTAGCACAGTGGTTCAATTCAAAAATCACAGAGACTTAGTCTGTTTCTATGTTGTTCTTTTCTCACCTTGGGAGCGTAAAACAGCGAGAATGCATAGAAGCTCTTGTTATCTCAACTTCCTAAATCCCTCAGTGTATACAAGAGCCCAAATGTGTAGCCATCAAGGGAATACCGTCCAAGCTTTTATTCTACGACTCCCGCATAACACCATGCGCCCTTTTTTGAGGCCTCGAACCTAAAGTCGTATGCATACACCGTTCTCAGTCCGGTATCTTAGTCTTAGGTCCCATGAGCGAGGAGTCCTAGCCTTGAAAATTACTAGCATTAGTGTTATATATCACGTTTCCTCTGTGTCAAAGGTCTTACTGAAGTGCGGGGTGTATTCTTCACTTCCAGACTCATCATCAAACCAATATTCATCAATAACTTTGTATGGTGACTTTGCTGGCGTCGCCTGGTATCTTTCCTGGTATTTCGGTCCATATCCTCTGCAATTCGGGAATCTCATTGGCGCCTGCTCTTTCTCTACGCGGCTCCGTCCTGGGAGATATTAAGGCGAATTGTCAGGTAGATAGCCAGATGTGGCGCATCTAAAATAGGGACCCAAGTGTTTGACGCGATGCGATAGGTGCCTCGATTTCGTCAAGCCATTCCTTCAACGCGACGGATTCCGTGTTCCCTATTGCGGATAGGTAAATCTATGTATGATCCCAGAAAAGGTGGCGGGCGCATTTGTGGCTCGGGAGGCTGTCAAGGTGATTGATGACCATCTCCGCGGTACTCATGGTCGGCGGACCGTGTTCTTCTATTATGGCCGGACCCTGGTCTGGCCGCAGCACCATCTACTTTCATAACTAGTTGTCGTTTCTGATGAAATTCTTGTCAGTCGTCCAATTTCGTCTGCCAACCGATGAGGGAGGTTCAAGTTCTTCCAATCGTCGGCGTCTCGTCTAAACAACAGGTATAAACATTTTAGATTGACGACCCGGGACAGTTGCACGTAGATCGTGGTGAAGTCTAGGTTTATCCTACAACTTCTACAGGTCCTCGAACTCCGCGTGATATCAGAGGTTGTGTTAAGAATCCTAGTCTTTGCTTGTATCATGATTATGAGATGAGATATCCTAGGTCCGCCATTCAGCTTTGGATAATTTAGATTAGGTAGGGCCTTATACACTACCCTGTTTAACCTGGCCGTAGTATTTAATTGCCTATCGTCAGACTGCTAACGGTTGGTGTTGGACAAAACATGGTACGTGAGAGGAGATTTTCAGCGAAATTGGGAGTAAGGAGGGGATAGGACAACAACATATTCGCGGAAAATAATATTAAGCTGAGATAGGAGAGTTTACACAGACAGGAAAAATGATCGCATTTGGCCCAAACGGGTAGTTGAAACTGAGAGATAGCGTGCTTCTTAGGTCTCTACTTAGGTATTGTGTTGCGTAGGTAGCTCACAAGCGTTCTACTGGAAAGACGCCTATGAGACCATGGGGGATTTCATAGGCCCTGCGAAATAAGACGAGATTTGCTCCCGTCCACGTGTTGAACTCAATATTCGCATATATGTGGTCTTTTGCACAATTGGCGAAATCCTGTCCATGTTAGTCGAGGTTTTATTCAAAATATGGTCGTTAAGGAAAGATATTGTCGTTAAATGTAGTGTTTTATATATAAAGAGAGGGTGCTATCTACGTAAGGGGTAGATTTCAAGTGATCATGACATTACCATTTTAGTAGGTAGGTTATGAAGGTCCCAAAAGCAAAAGCTTAAGGAGAACGGAGGGGACCGAGTTTCTCGTGAATATATCCTGACTGGAAGGGAAATGTGAGTTGCGTACAGCAGGTAGGTTGGCAGTAATGAAGAGGGTAAGTGCTTATATATATCTAGCTATTCATTCTGACACGTTTGGACGTTTTACGGATTGTAAAGTAATAAATTAATAAGTCTTCTTCCATCAAGCAATGAACTCATTTGTGTCATTATTTTCCCTGTCGGTTTGCAATTCCTATGCAATATGGTGATGTTGGACCATACCTAGTGTGGCATTTAGGGAAATAGGGGTAAAAGCGGATCTCTATGTTTACCTGGTAGTTGGTCACCTAAAAACACTCCCTCTCCTAGGTACTGATAGCAACATGATAATCGCAGAACTGCCGACTAAATAAGTATGACAGAACTTTTCTGTATGACTCTTCCAAAGATTGCTCGTTAAGAGATGACAAATCAAACTTCACTCAAGTCATAGCATACCTATTCCAATGAATGAGTAGGTGATTATACGTAACAAGTAATACGGTCATCTCAATGTATAATATGTATTACTTCTCAACAGTAGCAAGCACATGCACACCACAACCGCCCAAGCCATACACCACACCTCATACCTCCTCCGTCATTCCTCATCAACCCGGCCCCTGACCACGACGACGCGACGTATTCGCTTCCTAACCGAACCGTATCGCGCTATTCCGATCCCAAGTCCCGCTAACCGCCCTCTTGTCCTGCTGCGTATTGCTTCCTCCGCCTTGTCCAGCGTCGGATACGGGCGGCGTGCTAGCAAATTTGATGCCGGCGCCGGGGTTCCACACGCTCTGCATGGGGTTCGCCCTCGGCGGCTGCGGTTGCGGGGCCACCGTCTCGCCGGCCGGCGCCCACGACTGGATGCGCGCCTCGGGAGGGCTCTGGACCGGCTGCCTAGGCTGGGCCGGTGGTGTCATGAAGGAGTTCTGGGGCTGCTGCTGCTGCTGCTGCTGCTGTCGCTGGCCCTGATAAACTGCGCCGTCATCCAACCCGTACGTGGAAGAACTGGCCGACGGCACTGGTTGTTGTATATGGCTCTGCTGTCCTCCTAGACTCAGGTTGCCCAGCGGCGGCATATTTAGCTCGTCCTCGAGCATGCGTGCCTCATGTCTCCTGTCCGCCACGAAGTTCCGCGCGCCGTCTCGGAAACCGCCTACTATACGGCTGAGATCGTTGTAGAACTTGCGCCCGGCCTCTGCGTTGCTAACCAACTCCTTATATTTGTAATAGGCGTTCTCGAGCTTCTGAAGAGCCTGCTCCCTCTCTCTATTGCCTTTGTCGCCCACCATCTTCTTCTGGCTCTCGAATTCACGGTTCACCCTTATCAGTTCTGTGACAAGCTTCTCCTGCTCGGCACCCTCCGCTTGCACGAGCTCCAAATCAGGTTCGTAACGCGAGTCTAGGCGTTTTTCGAAAAATTCCTCGAAGTGCGCAGGCACAATAGCGGTCGCTACTGCTTGGGAGCGTTCCAGCCGTGCTGCTTCGGCGAGGATGTCGGACTTGATGTCGTCACTACGGGCTTTCTCACGAAGAGCTTCGGCCTTTCTACGACGACGACCCTCAAGACGAGCTATGTTGTTATAAGCTGTACGTAAACGACCAATCGATGGTTTGAGCGTTTCTGGAATTTCAGTGCGGCGTGATGAGGGCACGAAGTCCAATATGCCACGATCCGGTCCATTGAGAACTGCTAATGTGGGTTCAATGCTGTGGAATTTGTCGCGTACAACCGCATCGCTGCTCTCACTGTTTGCAAACCATCCTTCCGCATCTCTTACTTGATTCCAGAGCTTTGCGCCTTGATCGGGCTCAGAACGGCTTTCGGGTCGGACCCACCGATCTGTGCCGTATTTTCTACGTAACTGGACATCTTCATCCTCTTCTGCTTGCAATAGATTCTTGCCTTCTTCGAATATAGCTAAATCAGAAGCTCGTAATTTGTCGATATCTGCGAAGCTTCTTTGCAACCGATTCAACGCATCTGCCTGGCGAATTTCCTCGGCGTGTTGAACTAGTGTTCCTGGTAGACCGAGCGGCTTTTCGAAAGCCTGAAGCGAACCGGGAAGGTTGAGTGACGACAAAATCTCATGGATCCGTTCATTCAGTGTTTCGAGTTTCTCGATAATGTTTTGATTTACAAGGCGATCTCTGCGCTCTTCATAGATAGAGACGGCAATGTGGACGGAGTATGGGACAAGCTTGGTGAAGAGAGGGGGGCCGAACTCGCCCTTCTCGCTTAGATAGTCTAAGGGTGCTGACACCTGCGGCGGTATTCGTGCAATCGCCATAGTGGCTCGATCTAAAATCTTGAGTTCCTGTTTTGGCGGTACTGGATCTGTGCCAATAGTTAGTCTTGATTTTAATTCCCATCAGTGTATTATGAAGGAAAGCGTACTTAGATATATCACGTCATTGTCTCTTTCCGCCCGCTTCAGGTCTTCCTCTACTCTCCTCTTGAGTCCATTCAAGTCTTCCACTACTGCTTTGTGCAAGTAGCCCCCACGGCTCTCCCTAAGTCCTTCAGTCACACACGCAACAGCGTCGCGCAGCCTTGCTACCTCCTCGCCGTACTTTCGCTTTTCCAGGCAATCGCAGGCTGCGCGATATTGAGCAGCAGCAGCAAAGTGGTGGTGTTTCGCACTCATATGGTGAATCCAACTACTACTTATGGCTTCTGATCTCATTGCCGCCTCGCCCGCTTCGTTGTATAGATCGGACACCTTGGCGGATAGCTTCGCAATTGATGCATCCTTATAACCGTCCATAACGGCCTTCTGCCAGAAGCATTCTTGGGACTGAGCAAGCTGCAGTTTTACCAAGGAGTCCAAGGTGTGTTCATCCATATCTTCGGGCGGAGCAGTCCGCAGTTCAGGTATAACTTCATTCTTCAAGTGTGTCAAGACGCCCGCCGACTGGCTGAAGTAGCTCGCTGCGGTTTTGAGCCCATCCGTGCTGGACCGGTTGCTAGCTATAGCTAGCTGGGAGTATAATGCGGCGATATTGTATAGGATGTTGGCAAGTTCGAATTTCAGATTATTATGTACTATAGGTCGTTCCGTATTGTATCCTAAGGCGGGATACCATGTGAAGTCTGCGCCGATCTAGATATAGGGCCAGTGTAAGTAAAGGGTTATGACGAGGTCAAAGGAAACGTACATCTATGGGGAACTTTCCACCGATCCAGACTAGTTGTCCGGCGTAGGCCTGTAATCTTGCGACACCGCTAGGATGCGGCTCGCGCACGTTGACAGCGTCGCGCCGCAGCGCGTCGATCACCTCCAGATCTTGCCGAAACATGTCAGGATGCTGATCATATTTGGTAGATATGTACTGCCGAATGGCTGTCGACAGCGAGAGCTGGGTTCCCTTGCGGAAAGGGACCGCGAGAATATTGGTCTGCATGGCGGACGCGGGTATGACGGAAGCAAGGATTCGGGTAGTAAAGAGAAACAGCAGATGATTGCTACGGAAAAGAGAGTCGAGATACAGATACGATTATTGTCATCCCGTTTACCTCCAAACCTTGTGCAATCAGATGTTTAAAGTTAGGTAAATGACTTCATCCCGCCTGCCGACACAAGAAACTCGACTTGTTTTGGGCTCCCGTTTGCTTGGTGGGGTGCGGGGCACTGTCTCCTGTAGGTACTTGGTACTTACCCTTATGCCTATCATTGGCTGCGTACCTGAACTCTTATTTTAGGTCGTCCATCGTTCATCATGACAGAAGCCTCCCTTGAATTCAAGCTCGTACTTACCAACTCAAGGATTGTCATGATATGGATGTTGATCCTAAGGCTATGAAAAACTCGATTTCCCTCTTAATGGAACATTTGTTGAATATGCACTTGGAAAATGTATTAACATAATGGCAGTACTAAATTTCTATGATAGCTTCAGTTACTATGTAGGTTCTCAATGAGAAAAGTCCATTAGCCGCATACTCAAATCTTCCATGTGTTCAATACATTCATAAGCCAAGATATACATATTATTCTGATAATCATTTCATTAAGTCACTTTCAGCACAAGACAAGAATCATGTTTTGGTCATGTTTTTTTGGCCTATCTAAATATGTACAGCCGTAAGCGGCACATTCGCCTACTTCGTCTCGAGCACTTCGATTCCGAGTCGGCGACGTCCTCCAGTACGGCGCATAATAACCACCACCATAAACCTCCAAGAAAAGATCCACCAAAATTGCCAACCTGAAGCTCTCTTTTTCCGCAATGAACAGTATCGTGTTCCCCGCTAGACATCTAATGCTCGTAACTCCACTACCCGCACAACAAATCTATGATACAAAGCGGGCCCAGTGAATAGAATGTAGCTCCCAAAAACGGGCTGGATATCCTCAGACGGTATACCGAGATGAAATAAAATGCCATGTGCAAATGCTGTGTACGACCATCGTGATCGCCACTGACGCCAAGTTCGATATGCTTCGTTAAGTGGAGTTTGAAGTATTTCGTAGGTATATGGTTTCTCTGGCGAAACTAATCAAGGGGGCCTGTAGGTGATGACAAGGGAAAAAAAGGATCGACTGCGTTGAGAGTATTATGCATTATCGGGATCTTTCGACGGGTCGGGTGCGGTAACCAGCGCTAGTAAATGTACAATCTGGACGCGAACGAGGCTGACAATGACAAACGGTTGTCCAATGCCAAGTCGGGCCCAGGTAGTGCAAGAAGGTATTCAACGGTCTGCGATCAATAGTGATGCGAGAATGCAAAATGATCAATCCGCTCCCATGAACGCAACCATCATGCAAAACGTTGAGGTCATCACGTTTAGTCAACTTGATCGATATTCAGGAATTTCGAAAGGGCCAGGTAGATAAATGGCGACTCGATGGCACCAGTGAAGGAGTCTTGTTGCTATATCCCATAGCTAACTCCGGCACGGGTTTCCAATCCAGTCCTCTCCAACTCGAGTAGATGAATGAAACATCTCCCATTTCCTATTCCGTCGTCTAATATCGTTATGTCATGTCCAACACGATGGCGTTGTCTCCTTACGGGATCCAAACAAGCTCTATTATACCGTCAAGTTGGGCCATCGGCTCGCCGTTTCGGTCGACCCATCTCCAGTCGTTGGCCTTCCGCACGTAGGTATGGCTGACAGTGTTGTCCTCGTTCACGCGCGCTTCCTGGAGGTCCCAGCTAATCTTGCGGCCGGTCTTCAAAAGGCTAGGGCGTTGCGGGTCGAAGACGTAGTCCAAGTTCCATCCCTTGTCTTGGGGAGCGGCAGCGAATGTCCGCTCCATCTGAGCAAGGTTGAAGTTTGTACCCAGAGGATAGTGAGCAACACTAAAACCGGTCGAGATGATAAAGTCATCACTGGTCTGGAATCGCTGGAGAGTGCAGTCTTCGCCACAAATGTGGGCGATCTTGGTGTACTCCCAGGGAAGAGCCGAGTGCCACCCACCGCCCTTGAAGTGGTGGAGAGAGATGGGCTTGACACCAGATTCGTAGAAACCAGATGGGTCACCGTAGAGATCCAGCTGGTAAAGACCACGGAGGATTGACAGACGCACATCCGTGTTCTCGTAAATGCACTTACGGAGAAGAATATCACCCTGAGGACCCCAACCAGAGTTTGATTCATGAATCTTCTCGTCAGTCTTACAAGTCTCGTAGTCCTTCGTAATTTGGGCAGCCAGTGGCACCGACAGGAAAACACCGGCGCCACCAAAAGCCTGCGATCCGTGGCGGTCAACATTGTTGACATCCTCAGATAGAGTGCCAATGTAAAGCATCTCATTGGGATCATAAGCCTCAAACTTCTTGGTCAATGCGTGGACACTAGGGAAAAAGGTGTCGTCATCGCACGACACGAGCCACTTCTTCGTCACACGTTCCGGGTGGTTGTATAGGGTCGGAATGAGAGTGAGGTAGCGAACAGCCATTTCCATAGACGAATCCGAATGGTAAACGTCAACGTCAATTCCGGCGTGGTGCAGGATTGTCCTGGCGTGTAGAATCTGGTCTTCCGTCGCGTCCAACAACAAGAGAATCAACTTGCCACCGTTGGAGTTTCCCTTGCCATCAGTCAACCAGTATGTCCATTCATTGACTGGGCTGGTCTTATCTGAGCTAAATCGCTTGAATGTAGTTGACACGCCAAACATGAAGTCGGAAAGGTTACCGGTGGCCGGGAACGGCGATTCGGAAACGGGAACCTGGAGAGGCTCGATGCACTGTTCGCTCCCGTAGGTGCTCGGGTGTTGCAAATCAACCGTGGTGAAGGAGTTGGGGAGGAATGGCTGAGTGAGCTTGGTGATCGACTTCCGAGCAATGGGCTGGCGGTTGATCTTAACATATCGCTTCAAATACTGGAAGGTATCCCCAAGCTCATACTTGGCCTTCAGTTCACCCATGTGGGTAGAATTGACAGTGCAATCCATCACGTGGTTCGACACCGGGGCGATGTCCTTGTCGGACGCCTGAGGAGCATCGCCGAGGGGTTGTTGCGGCACGCTGGCCTTATTGTTGTGGGTTGAGGCGGCCTTCACTATCCTCGATCCTACATCTTCTATACGGTCGGACTTCCATGTTATAGCTAGCAGCAGCAGCAATGCGACGGCGAAGAGAACGCATCTCGAGAAGGGGTTCCGCATGCTAAAGAACCTCTGATGCGATGAGGCCATTTTTGCTCCCATCGTCATTCCCTCAATGACTTGTCTGTCAGGAGGGGAAAACCAGGGCGTCGTTAGTTATAAACAGCTGATTTGTTGTGGGCTTATCCAAAAATTGTTATCAACCGTCCCAGCTACTTAATGACGGTTATCAGAGTATTCCGTGTCTGTTGTCTTGGCATGCGGGCGTGACGGCTGACAATCTATGTCAGTGGAACTGTTCCTATTCGGAACCGGTTGCTGACTATTTCAACAACCTCGACGTAATATGGTAACGAATGACGCCTCACACAAAAAGGGAGGAAAAGTTGAGACGAAGGTTGAAAGAAGGCGAAAGGCTCCGCACCCTTTGACGTGTAGGGCGCCTATCGAGACGATGGAGCAAAGAAGGTGAATGTATGAGATTATTTTCCAGTGATGAAGGAAGAAAGACAAAAACAAAGCGAAGGACGAGGAAGGAGGAATTCGACAGTAAAAAGGGAAAAAAAGGAGAGATCAATCAAGGGAAGGGATGGATGGTACAATAGGTACTATGTACCGTACATAATAGGTGAGAGCGAACGCCTGCACGCCTGGAAGAGAAACAACCCAGACAAGCTTGGAAAGCCTGACAGGGGGGGTCGGTTCCGTACTACAAGCGGAAGCTAGTAGAGGGAATACCGCAGCGCATGTAGCAGGTACGCGAGTGCTAAATGGTCACGAATGCAACGGGCGCGGGCGATTAGGGGTTTGATAAATTGGGGTTGCAGGGATTGGTATTAGATCCGTGGCCCAAACAGGGGTACGGTCGATACCCACGATGCAGCTGGGGTACAGTGTATGCGCAGAGTTCGTCGTATGCGGTACTTTCTCTCTTCGTCGTATACTACTATGTACTAGTATACTAGGTAACCCTGGAGGGGGCAAACCGGAAACTGCAATGACAAGGAGAGATCAAGGAGAGAGCGACGTTGAAAGGCCAGGAAAAGAGAATAAGGAAGAGGGGCGGGACGAGCTAAGGACCAATCAGGCATTCAACTTCCAAGAAGAGGAAAGAGGCAATTGAGACTATGCGATCTAATGCGTTCCAATGACATGATTGTTTTTAGAGTCGCTAAATTCGTTACTATACACACTAAACTACAATGCATAGTTTGATTACCTACGCCGTTGACGATTCTGCTAGGTATAATACAGGTTTAGGTTGGCGGGCGTATTCCTTTATTGGGTCATTCTATAATGAGCGTCAATGGTATTCATTGAGATCAATTGGCTTTGATACGCGTAAATTATATGCGTAAATTACATAGGAGGACGCTTCGACGCGATCAACAGCGGTCGGAGTGGTTCTGCTTCATAGGCCTCTCACTTGCAACCAACAGGTCCTCGGTCGGGTGCTTTTCTGTACAGGCTGTATGTAGATCTTCGCAACTCGCGATACAGTATGGATGTATTGCTAACAGTGCTAGATAGATATGTGACAAGCAATGCCAATACCGAGTAATGCAAGCCGGCTTTGCAAGATGTCGTATTAGTCGCTGATGGATGTTGACTATTTACTGTAAATACGGGCAGTACGGGAAATTCTACATAGTAACGAGAAGGATGACCGAATACTAGTGGCTTAGAATCGTGCTCAAGTTCTTGATTCTTGGATCATGCGTGGGCCCTGAGCCCTAGGCGTGGCTGCGTACTGGCTGCGTACTGTACGCCCGCGTACACATATCGGCCGGATTGCATTGACGGATAATACCGTAACCTCACTGTCTGCTCTCACTATGTACATCTGGCACAGATTCCTCATGCTGTACTTGGTATATTTGGTAGTAAGAACTGACCAAGTGGAGGGGTGGGTTACTCAGGCTGATTTGAGAGAAATGCCGTCATCGTCATCTTTCCTTGGTAGGATTGTGCCCTTCTCCGATAATATGTACGAATTATAAGCGTGGCTGGCGGTACTTGTGGCGATCTTTGCGCCATCGGTTGCCTGTACGATTGACCTAAATTCCAACACGAAGGGAAGAGTTATGAACTAGCGTCCGGATTTAGAAGCATCAGCATAACTGGCTGACCAAATATGACCAAATATGAGAAAGGCAACAGATATACGTCAGTATGGCAAGTTGCCGTGACCACCGTGTGCACATACTTACCTATGTTATTATTCACGATTCCACGTTACTACAGATGTTACCGCCAGACTGGTGTGTGAGTAAAAGGCTGTTCATTTCTATATGTAGATGTGTTTGGTCTTTATCGACTTTGTATTCCGTCCTTCGCTACCACATGTTTGCTCTCTCAAATGTGTCTAGAGCTATTTGAGAAGAAGGTTACGCGTACCCAATATAACCCGAGTTTTTAATAGAACATTAGACGAGTCAACTTGAGTTGAAAGGCCTAGATACGAGCTTCGAAAAAGCTTCTTTTCATCGCATATAAACTCTCTTTTCTAGATTCGATTCCAGACTTCGCGGCAATATAATCCTTATCTTCATGAACTTGCCAGTTGAAGCACTCAGACACTTAAATGTCCATCTCGAACTAGCCTTGTCGGGTATCCCTAGATGGGCTTGCCGCACTGAAGATCATTACGTCGTTTGTTTCTACAGCTTCCAACCCGCCCGCCCCCTTAACCACCGTTAGGGGAAAGCATTCGTAAGCTGTGGGGCCTTCGTTTCGAATGTCTCGCCTGGCGTCCTCTAGTTCGGCCAGATTTATTTGATTACAACAATTCACTTGACCACCCTTCTTTTTCACTTGCTCTATTCTACTACCGACTATATTCATGTCTTAGCTCAGAGGCGCGGCTTACGAATGAATATGGCCTCACGGTGCCATCAGTGAAGGGTTTGTCAACATTTTCAATCGCGGAACATCACGATAACTGACACAAAGGTTGCGCTTCAAATGGAGAAGTGTTACTTTCTCGATTGAGACGGTCCTATCTCCGATGCTGCGGGATCCTACAAGGTAACCCGCTTTTAGACCCGATTTTAGAAAATTAAGAAATGAAAGATGAAATTCCAACTTTTTTCTCATTCGCCATCATGGTGGCACTGCCGCAGATCAGGGGGTCAATTCCGTCAACGAGTCCACTATCGCAGCGCCCACGAATTCCAAGATTACAACGATGACGATAGGACGGACTAACGAATGAACCACTCGATATTTCCGCTTGGAGCGTGTTCTCGCGAAGTTACCTACACCTAGTATCGTCTACTGCTTTGTAAAACTTCTAGAGCTTCTAGAAGAGCCGCGACTCGATTACTCAATATCAGAGAAGCTTATATTGTTTTTCTAAATCTGTACATACAACATTCGGTACGCTTGTTGGTGTAGAGAAGTAGCAGTTGGAAATGTGCCGCTTTTCCAGAGCTTCGCAGTCCTGCCAGGGCACTATGTCCCGGTAGTGATTAAAAGGGCCTTGGCATCGGCAGCTCATCGAATCTCTATGGACGAATCTTCCACGCCTAAACCCGTTGCAATGTGCCTAATAGATGGCTCAATTGCCGACGAGCCGTCATGATTGGTTAGTACTGACAAACCTCACAATTCTGTACGCATCCAGCCGCCGTGAAATGTGCCTTGTGTGCACTCCCAAACATCGTTGCAGTTCCTCTTTGCGACCAGGACGGAAGGGATTTAAAGCACGAATAGGCAACGAGCCAGTTCGTCAAGATAAGCATGACCATCGACCATGTGGTGGATTCGGCTAAAAAGTTACTATTGGAATTATTATTAGACCAGCCTCGATCTTACATAGTCGAAGCTGGAATCGTCCCAAAAAGGGCACCATCCAGCGTTTTGTAAAATAAGCTTCTGACAGAGGACAGGTGTGATGGTGGTCCTGACGCACAGAATGTTACCATAGGTCTGGTACTCTTCCGCATTTGCGATTGGTGTGAGCTTACACCACCACTCGATCGCTCGGCATCGAATGTAGGACGACCTGGACCACATCAAGTTGACCTACCCTTTTTACGTTGAGTCGTGCTACCTGACCTTCCAGTTGTGTTGATGGATTGGAGATCCCCACGATATCACCGAATATGTACCTCAGTCCAGTAAGAGACGCTACTCTCGGTCTTGTCACCGACTAGTTAGTATGCAAAAATCGGTTGGCTTATCTCAACGAAAAATAACGGTGCATATCGGGCAGATGCAAATGCATTCACACGCCGCTAGGATTCCGGAGGCGTCCATCAGCCAAGGACGGAGCCTCAGGCACCGCTTCCGCAGCTGTAGTATCTGTACAAGCATGTAAGATCGCCAATTCCGCCCCAGGGAGCATATCAGGGGGGATGCTACTATTGGATTTGACAACTTGTCAACCGCCGACCGGGCTAGCCGTTAGCAAGCACAGGGCTCTTTAGCATGTGTTTTTGGGGCCCTGCGCCCACAGGGAAGGCGGCTGAACACTTAGAGGATCTACAACACCCCCGTGCACCAGTGGCGCCATGGCTGTGTAGGCGTCTTCTGACTGGCTCGCAGCACCACTCAGAGCCTGAATATGAAACACGGAGGGGGTTTACTAACTAGGACCGACTCGGTGGGTTGAGGACGGGTCGATCTCTGATCCAACATCAGCAATAAAGTAATAGCACCGCCGATCGGTCACGTTCTTTGCACCCTAACAAGAAGGCCGTCATCAGATTGATAAAGTGTCCTCTCCGCCGTTGATCATAACGCGAGTTGCAGGAACAATTCGGGCTCGGCGCGGTTCAATCCACATTCCCCCACGACGGCGACGGAGGTGTGAACTCCATCTACACCCTCAGGAAGCGGTCACGATTTGCAACTACGAGGATCCCCCGTCCACGTTCGGTAGCTTTTCTTCCAGACCCCTATTGTTGTTGGTGGATGATATCTTACCCAAGATCTATCATGCCACTTGCGCTGCGAGACATCTAGTTGGTAGCACGCGGATCCTACAGTATCTACATATATGTACTTGTACTTCGATAACTTGCGATTTCATGCCTTAATACCTGTGACTCCATAAGACAGACCATCGGGGACATGGATATCGCTTATTTACTCAACATGCTACACCTTCTACCCCGGATATTTCGCAGTGTAACAGGACAATAAACCAGGCTAGACATGTTCCACGTGTTCGGGAATAGAACACATGTACTTGAAACTGGTTGAGCTGTTTATTCTCCGCCATCCCGACGACGGTTCTTGGTGAACTACTAACGTAGCGCAAGAGATTCGTTGCAATTAGCAAATACCGCCGTTCAGTTAGCCCCGCCTATTTCGCTACCGACAAGACCTTAGCTTGTTCCGATTTTCGAGTTCGTTTCTGGGCAGGTTGCCAAGCGACTACTATCATCCAAGTCGAACGTCCTAAATCTACTTCCGCCTCAGCTTTGAGACAGACTATAAGTTACATTGCGGTCGAGCTGAGAGTAATGACGTTATGATCGCTATAAATATTGGTTCCTCGCCCATTTTTTGTTTGTTACGTGATAGTGTTTCGTATGTAAGTCATACAAATGGTAGGGCCAGTGTCAGAGGAAAAGTGTGGAGGCGACCTAAACCTAGCGGCGATCTACCTAGGAGGCTCTAACTACGATGTCGAAGTGACTAGCCCCTGAGTTCAAGTAAGAGACGGCGTTAATGGTTTTATAATCGTGCTATACTCTATGCTCCAACCCGAATGAAGGGTCTCCACGTTTCTTAGTAGCTGGTTAGCGACCTAAAGGACGGTTTCCTTAGGTAAAACTAGCATATTCAAGAGCCCTACCTAGCTTATATTGGAACAAAAAAACGATACATACCTACAGACGGGCCTTTATATCTGCGCTAGTTTGCAATTACCGTCAATTTCACCGGAATGGTGGATCTACCTAAGCAAGTTCGTCTAACCTCATCATCTAGTGAATAATCTAAAATAACTTGCGATAGTAGAAGTAAGCTAGGTAATCACGTCTTCATGACAATAGCGCAGGTCCTTGGCTATACAACTAAGGCATGGAAATAAGTCTTAGGCTTAGATTCATACCCACACTACAAACTACGATCTCAGGGTACACAAGATGACATGTCGCTAAAAGGGGCAAACCTCCTCGACTAATAGAAATTGATGAGATAGGAGTACCTACCCGTCCCCAGTAGTAAACTCGGTTATTGACGTGGGGAGTACCTGTCGTGTCTGATTATGTGATGTGCCATGCAATGAAAACTCAATATTCTTAGTATGAGCCTAGGGTCTGCTTGAGTTTGCGTCGATGATGACAAAGATCGATAATATGATGTTTGTTTATTCAATTTTGATATATGATAACAATGGAACTAGTCAACTTAGTGGCATGTATCTCGAAGTATAATTTCATATCAAGTGCGGCTTACAGTTTGATGAGGCTATCTATTGTAGGAAGCGTGTAATAGTCGGTGCTACCGTCACAAGCAGCTAGAATGCCTTAGGAATTCGACACTATCTTAATAAGATATGGGAACAGTAGTTGTGTTGCTACTTTGTTACTCCACTTAGGGTGTAGTTGGAGCTCACCAGAGGGACTGTAGCATTTCGGCCGCGCATGAGGCGATCTGCCGGGAATTGTGGAACATGGTCGAGACCAACGACGCGTATGGAGGACGGGGATGCAAGTCCTTGGCATTGGGAAATTGGTTGTTTGGTTTGTAAAATCGTTCGGGTGCCGTGGGGTAGTCCATGAAGGTGCTAGAAGTCGACTTCCTGCTCAAGCTGCGTGATAGTAACTTTACCCCCGACATACTCACGTAATGAGCCCAGACTCATCTAGTCGCATATAGATTCGTAAATATGCAAGCAAATGGGCTGAACACGTACGCATTGCAAAAGGGGTAAAGGTTACCCACCGATAAGCACATTTCAACTCGAGCAATTTCGTAGTCAAAATCCCTCCGGCGATGCACGTTACAGCTTCCCTTATCTTACCAGCCCATAGAAAAGAGTAGATGCTAAGTTATCTCACTATGTTCACCAATAAGCGTAGACGTAACATGGATGACAAATCGCTTAGACAGGTTTCTGTGATACTTGGGGCGAGCAGTCTCGATAGGCATTCTATAATTGATAGGCATATTCTATTGTTTCACGATGCCAAGAAGCGGCATCCCTAGATCCTGGGAGGCAGTGAGTGTAAATAAGGAAATATGGGGTAATTCTCCGGATGCAATGCGGTGTGAGGCCGCCCTCCGCCTTCGCCGGGGCTGTGCGGAGGACCGGCGAATCAGGAGTCGCGCTGCTGCTCCCGATTTCTATTTCCGGATATCCCTTCCCGGCGTATGTACGATCCGATTTTAAGCGCTCGGCGTTACGATAGGGCTTGGGGGCTGTCAGCTGCTTTTTGTTTCGAAACAGCCGCCGACGTGCTGGTTCTGTTGCTGCTAGCCAGCGATTTTTTTAATATATCCAACCTATATGATAATAATAGCCTTACGAGACGCAGTTCTCCAATCACCACACTTTCCATTTTTTATATTCAGTCCATCATCCAAATTTCTATAGAGTAGACCACGGGTAGAGACCATTCCGTAGGATTCTCTTGCATTTAACTGAGGCTATCTATACATGAATACACTTCTGCTGGCTATAAGGTGAGTATATTGAGTTGCCAAGGTGGATAAGCCTCAGTCATGAGGTACAAAACTCCAAAATAGATATATTAAATAAGTAGAATTGTAATGTCAGGGCCTCTTAGACTAACAGGATGTCTCCATATGACCTGGTTCCCTTGTGTTTATAGTAGGCACTACTTCATCTAATAATCTAATCCTGCCTATATATAACGTATGGCTTAAGTAAGGGACGACCTTCAGAAGTTCAGACTCAGCTCGATGTTTTTATATAAAGTTACTACCATATATTCTAGATCGAGACAGTTAAATCGTACATCCACCCGATTACGAGGCTCGTCATAATATCCCCCTTTATCAGAAATCTCGCTACTTCTTTCCTACAAGATGAAACCCACTTCGCTATTCTCTCCCCTATCTACCACCCTCCTCCTCGGAAAGATCAACCCGATCTACGCGGCGGTTTTCCCCCGTGACGATGCATCCACGATAGCCAACTTCGGCAGGATAGGCATCTGCATGTCGTACTTCACAACCGGTCCCACGGACAAGGAGCTCGCTCCATGCATGACCTGGTGTCCCACCCAAAATGCGAATCAAGACCCCAACGCCGTCGGAGTAAGTTTGCCATCATTACCTCCTTCTTACCTCTTTCATTTTTTCCACAAGAGAAACCGGAACTAACGCCAGACTTTCCAACCGCAGTGTCAAGGCCCCGGCGTCCCGCAAAGCCAGATCGACCCAAGCACGATCCAAAAAGACGACGACGGGAACCTATGGACCCCGGGCACCTGCGTGTGCAACCTGCCCGTCGCGGGCGCGATCCTCGACGTCGTCATCCAGGGCCTGTCGCAGCTGGACAACGTCATCTGCGCCGTCATGCTGACGGCCGTCGTCACCCTCGTCGAGGAAGGCATCGACAAGGTGCCCGGCGGCTCCTCGATTGAAGCGGTCGAGAAAGCCGTCGAGGGCGCCAAGACGTTCGTTGAGAACGGGCTGGACGCCGTGTCCTTCTTTGGCGACTGGATCGGCAAGAGTTGTGGTGTTTCGGATTTCAATTTTAACTTGGATGATATCTTTGATGGCTTGAGCGGCGAGCCGGACTCGCTTGGCGAAAGTAAGGGGTGTTTTAAGGCGAATAAGATTTGCGCGGCACCAAAGACGCGTTGATGAAAGACGGTGGTTATGAATAGAGCATTGGCGGAGTATGGTTGGTAGCTGGCTACATTCGGAAATAGGGGCATATGAGGCATGGCATTGGCTGACGGAGTTTAGTGATATTAGTTGTATTCATTCGTTATATGTGATATCTGCATTGGGAAGGAATTGGTATTGTCAGGGGTTTGCACAGGTAGATTTAAGGGGCTAAGGGGTTATTCTAACCAACAAGAGATATAGCCATCTTTCATTCATTACATGTACATAAGAGGGGAAAAACATAACAGATTCAAGTATAAAGGGAAAGGAATATATTATGCCTAGTCACTTAAGCTAAAGAGGGTATAAAGATGCTAGGGCAACTATTAAAAGATTATCTAGGGAGGTACTAACGTACACAAATATTAGTTCGTAGAGGTGACTGTGTTTTTCTCTCATCATGCATTACAATCCCGAGCCAGATGACTACACGTAAACCCTCTTAATCGTAACGAGCTGACAGCTCGGATTCTGCGGCTCCTTATCACCCATAACATATTGAAGAGCCGTGTATCCATAACCCTCCCAGTACGTGACACAGATAGCCCAGCGGTCCGCCAAATACTCGATATCATTCTCAAACGGCTGCGGAGGCGACACAGCATCATTCGTGTTCGCGCCCACGGCCAGCAGCCCCTCGTCGGTAAAGGAGACCGGCTGCGCGCCTTCGGTCGAGGGCCAGATCAGCGGGAACGCGAGGTTCGACGCCGCGTTGTAGAGGAACTGCATCGCCGTATTCGTGGTCAGCGGCGGCGACCCGCCCGTGAACGTCCAGGTGATCAGGCCCGAGGGCAGGAAGCCCGGCGTCGTGGGCGCTTGCGCCGAGCCGTTGAAGTAGAAGGTCTGGAACTCGGGCGTCGAGACCGAGGTGTCGAGGCAGAGGGATTCTATGAGCGCGCCTGAGTGGCAGGCCGCGAGCTTCTGCCCGTTTAGAGTGTCGTTCGAGCTTTGGAGGACGAGGTTGAAGGGTGCGGATTGGTTGGGGTAGTTGCTTTGCGCTAGGGCGAGGCCGAAGGCTGTCGCGAGGATGGGGAGAAGACGGGCCATGTTGGAGGATGTGCTGCGGTTGTTGGTTGCTAAGAGGTTTGGATGTGCTATTTTACTTGTTAGGTGCTCTAGAGGTAGTTATTGATATATTATTGTGGACAACTCAGCTTTTATATTGATTTTCTCCTCGTTCTTTCATTTATCGAACTCCGTTTTCCACGTCCTCCTATCACCATCACCTAGGACCTCACCGGCTGCAATACAGTAATTAGAATACGAGATTCCAAGGCGTCACATCGCATCTAAAGATCGAGCGGGCGTCAGTACTATTGGTCACATGGTCGTATAAGGAATGCCTGTTCGGGACTCATGCTGCGCTCTGCGCTGCATACAACCCCCCTATGTGGTAATTCAAATAGCCTCAATTTTCCTAAAAACAACGTATGAAAAAGCAGCCGATGACCTATACGAGATAGAAAATCAGATTCTACTCTGTATTCGAGTTCTAAATCTGTTTCGCGATTATTCTTGAACTATTCGATACGAGAATGCTGATGCAGGGAGGTGAAATGGATGACGGCACGTCTGGCTTTGTCATCCTTGAATACCCAGATGGGTAGGTGAGTAGCAAAAGGTTTCTTTCCTGACATTGTAGAATGATTAATTATCGTAGCTAAACTATTTTATGATGGTCCATCAAACTTCATCGATCGTTCCGCTGGTGAATAGAGATAATAAACTTCGCTTCTACCCCTATTCGTTCCTGTTCCTTTCTCTTAGGTAGTATGGGCAACTGGAAGACCCTAAGCAATGTCCTTACATCTCACAAAACGCCATCCTTGGAAGTTAATATTATTGAAAGATTGATCAATGAACGAATCCTTCGGTAATTTCCCGGTTGGTTTCTGCGGAGGGATTGGCGGAACACCTTTAGGACAATTTCTAGATGCCCATGTTTTCCCAGCAGACGTCTCGAACCAGGCCTTCTGGGCTTTGCCACCAGAAATACTAGTATTCGCCCAGAGCAAGGCCTGTGGGCTACTTAGGAACCACATACCTTCGGTGTTAAGCCATTCCACCCCCTGCCGGCTTTCGAGCCAAGGGTATCCGAGATCTGACGCCAGCCACCACCAACCAGATTCGGACGCAAGGAACTCAGAGCCTTTGGAACTAAGCCATTTATGTCCTTCCTCGGTCGCTAGCCACTTCGATATCGTATTTGATTTGTTGTGTAAAGAACATGAGAGCCATTGTCTGCCCTCCGGAGATTCTAACCAGGCGTGTTGTCTGCAACGTCTCCTAACTATAGTCCTCGACCAAGCCTTCGTGATGTAGCTCATCCTATAGCTCTCAGACGGCGAATACCCCGTTACATTCATACAAGGTTCTCCGGTTTTATCGATTTCCTCATCCACATCTTCGACTCGGTAGGCTTTAATGACCCCTATTTTGTCAGGCAGAACCTCCTTTCGAAACCTTCCCAGCAGGACTACAAGGTTTTCGACCCGCGAACCTCTGGATAACACGAAATCGGCGCCCTCTTCCCCATCCGTTTTGCGTTTGATGGAATGGAATAATTCTCCTATTCTGAAGACGGCAGTCCGGATCTCGGTCATCACGTAAGGTAGAGACCTAGCCGGGTCCTGGAAGTTCATGACCGCCCTCCCATCGAAGAAGACCCAGTCGGAAGACAACCTTACCGGAGGAACTGCTTTGCTTTGGTCCTTCGGGGTTGAGGGGTGGTTGATCAAAGGTCTTGTATGTTTTAGAGAGTCATGCGCCAGACGATGGCACTTTCTAATAAGAGAGACAGTACCGTGCCCCGATCTAATGGAGTTTCCGGTAAACGAATGCCAGCGCCGGTGCCGAAGAATTATGATGCCCGCGTGATGCAGTTGGCGATTTCCGTTGCCGGCATCTACGGTTCCTTTTGTGCTGAGAGCATTCTTGAGTTGGTTGAACTGATCGCTTCGGCTTAGGCCTCGTCGAAGGATAGGAGATTGGTTCCACTCTCTGTTGACGTAGATCTCCCGACTGCCGCCGTCAAACCCGACTAGTTGCCCCTTTTCGAATATCAAATGGACCCAGCCAGGCGATGACTGAACCATCTCGAAGATGTTTTGCTTGATGTTGTCGGGTAGGTCGTTGAAGGAGAAACCTTTTGTGGTCCGGTCGGAGATCCTCATTTTCTGGATGGCTTTTTCGAGCTTGGCCATCGCATCCGTGAAATATTGTCTGCTCTTAACTTTCTTGGGCTCCATCTCGCCAAACCGCTGTCGGACTTGTTTAGTAGTCAGTATAGGATTTCCAATTTCTTGGTCTATACGCGATATAGTGTTGGCGTGGGGCTGAACAGTGCGCAGTTCAGTTTCCTAGGCTGAATGGGAGATAAGAATATTAAGTATAGGACTTCTGTTTGCGGTATGTACTTACAAAAGATGAGATGATAGTCGTAGTGGGCTATTGCGTTTGATAAGCTTGTCCATTGGAAAAAATATGTTTATATATCATTTCCTGCTACTGGCCATTCCTCAACTGCGGAACACGACTTGCAATTTCTAGGTCCACTGTAGGTTTTCTGTCATCCAGGATGAATGATTCACGCACATGTAACCTACCTGGATCACCTCCCATCACATATGAACAGATTCCGAGCTGAACTATCAGAGATAATTTATTGCCCGAGCCGTTGCTCAGACGCCATAATGACAATTGGGGCTCAGAAAATATTAGCCGCAGGTGAGGTGTCCATGAATCTAAGGAAAGGGGCCTAGCTTTTACTGAGATGAATACCGTCAGTCACCAATTCATGATAACCTGCTAGTTATATCATGACAAATACGACATCATATCCCGCCGAAACTTCAGAAGTGAATCACCGAGTGAATATTGAACCCGAGAGAATTCCAGCCGCGAGGCTGGTAGAATCGTCTCATCTTTTGCTAAGCAAGCTTTGCTGTGCGATGCTGATAACCATGCAACATGTACGCCCTATCCCATTCGCAGAATGCGTTACAAGAATAGAAGCCCTAAATAAATGTGTTGGGGTATACCCTCCTCAAGCTAACGCCGTAGCCGTACCCATATTCCCGAGTCCCTCATCGTAATAATTGTCATCGCATCATGGTAACCCCCCGAATCGAATAAATATGTATACCGTCGTCACCCGGCCCCAGCAACCCCTCCGCCCCCTGCATGACGTTGTTGGATAAACCACCCACCCCTTCTCTAAAACCTGATATTGGCAACCCACTTGAAGTTGATGCCTCTTCTTGTGCCTTATTCGAAGAACCATTCCATAACTCATGATTTCCCACTTGGGGACTTAGGCATTGTCCGCCTATCGTTCATTCCTATCCATTTTTAGCAACCCATATGAATACCCGCATGACCCCGTTAAAAAGCCAAGGAGGGTATTGTCTCATCGGACCACGCCAACCCTACCTTCCTCTAAATGTCTGCGCTTCACCATCAAGTTGCCCGGGAAGTCGGGGGATTCACGATCCTCGGAGAAGCTCACATTCATGACCTCAGAGAGGATGTTTCTCTTGCGCTTTGACGACTCTGGTACACGAGGGGGAGGTGGCGGCAAGTCCTTATGCTGAGTGAGCTGCTGGAAAGTGGTTGCCCAATCCTCCTCCTCAATCTCCTTCTCAAGCATGTCGTCGCTATCCTGAGAATAGGACCATGGTTCATCCTGGTAGGTCTCCATGCGGTCCACGTTGATTTCGCCAACTAGGTTTTGACCGAGAGCTTGACCTAGGCGTTCTTTAAGACCCAGAATTGGCCAAACCGGGACTCTCTGGTAATGAATTGTGACTTTTGCATCCCCGCGCGGCGCCTTGCTGAAGTCATCGAACATGCCTAGAAATGCTGCCGGTATGATGCTTTTGTAGACGATGAGCGATTGGTCTTCGTGGGAAACTGATAAGACACGAAGCTCAACATCTTTCGGCGCGAATCCGTACCCTGTGTAAATGTTGGTGTACACATGCCGTTGGGCCATTGCTAACATGGCAGCAAGAATGTATTGGTCTTCGTCAGGGTTTTTGGGAAACAGTTTCGCCGTGCGGAGTTCGTGTAGGCGGTGAATAGGCACGTTTAAAGATCCGTCCGGTAATGCGCGGACCCGGAAGCAGCTCTTTCTAGCGAAGCTCAGAGTATGAAGATCAATAAAGGCCACTACCGGCACATGCGTTGGAATCGGAGTCACGGGAGATTCTTGAAAACTTGAGCTGCATGTGGTCATGGATTCAAATGATGATGCTTCTCTTTTCTTCCATACAGCTTGGCAACGCACACTACCTAAAAGGCGGCCACGTCCACATCTGATATTGAGGTCTGGGTTCACTGAGCACAATTGTCCAGGATATAAGAATGCCAACAGGTTTTGGACTGATTTATCTGTCGGCAGTCCGGAGCGAAGCGGATCCATCAAGTCATCGAGTGTTCTTCCAATAGACACTACCAAGTCGGATGTTTGAGGTTGTGATGCTCTCGGTTGGGAGGATACTGGTGTTGGTGTAGGTGTGGTTTGCGAAGGCTGTGGTACAAACCGACAGCCGAGCAATTGCGTGTGTAAGTCAGTCCAGCCAAGTGGAGAGATGTAGAGGGATTTAGTTGCATGGTCATGGAGAATGTCGTAGAGAGACCCGACTTCAGGTGATATTATTTTGCGAATACGCCGCTTGCGCTTGATCTTGGTCTCTGTCACCTCCATCGTCTGAGGCGTGTTCGACGACATGATAGTTTGGTAGTGGTCCGTTGAGAACTACAAACCAAGTTGTTAGCAAGACGAATAGATAGAGGAGGGGTATGTATAGCTATGTAGGTAGCTTAGAGGTACTTACCAGATTAATCCATGGATGAGATAGGCTGATGTATGGCGTTGTGGCTGCGATGTGCCGTTGAACCTTGGAATTGTGCAGGAATACGATGCGACGAGTTATGCGACGATGCAAACGCGATGCGCAACTAAACTCTAATTGATCCAATCGGCCCTAACCCGATTTAGGGAATACTTTGCAAATCAGAAAATTTGGTATTTCAAATGAGCGGAGGTTGGAAGAGTGATGGTGGAATATGCGACAGTTGTGATACTGGCAGGCGGTTAAAGGAATGATGGGAATGGATGAAAGCGATTAGAGCTTGGAGACGCGACGCGAGAGGGGCTTAAGCTCTTTAGCTGCAAACAAAAACCTGGGCTGCCCTTTCAATTTGAATGCGGCCAGCTTCGCGGTCTCGCGAATTCAGGTGACCTTGTGCGCTACTTAATAAGGTTAGGGCTAGGCACCAATCCGTGTGTACCCCCGTGTGGATCTGGTCCATACCGTCATGCAGCCAATCAGCGCTTGCAAGATCAAACTTGGTGACAACTCACTTCCAAGACAAATAGCTTGATAGAGTGGATGCAAGTCATCGCTAGCCGAAGTCCGATTGGCGTCATGTCATCTATCTTTAGTAAGGTTACACGGTTGGCGGCAATTTAAATGAGTAATTTCACACTGTACGGTGTATCTTGACGTGTACTTAGGTATCTTGTCATTATGTAATAATAATGCATTATGCCGATAATTACCCGCGGGAAGTGACGTCTCAGGCATCCAGGTTTCTCACTAACAATTTAGAGAGGTCAGCCTCAGTTACCTGGGTACCATGCACGCCTAAGCCTCGTTAGCCCCTCTAGAAATCCAGCAGTGAAGGAAGCGTACTCACGTATTTCCCTATCACCAAGACTCCTTGTAACCGCAGCATTGTCGAGCTATCACCGACTCTCCTCGGTGTATCCTTGACAAGATGCCGGTACGTGTACATTCCATACCTCCGACAATGCATCTCTACTCCTGAGATATCCATATAGCCCAATGCCTCTCTAAGTCCAAACTATCTACGAAGCTTGCTAACAAAACCCAGGCCTACAACTCCATGTTCAACAACGACCCCAACATCCCGCGTCTGGTCGGGAACTTCCCCCTGCTCCCCCTCCGCACCAAGACCCGGGGCCCGGCCTACGTGCTGCCGCAGCCCAACCCGCCTCTGCCCGCCAACGAGAGCCCGGACCCGGACGCGGAGTCGTACGACGTGCTCGACGAGGTGCTCTCGCTCTTCCGCGCCAACACCTTCTTCCGCAACTTCGAGATCCAGGGCCCGGCCGACCGCCTCCTCATCTACGGCATCCTCTTCGTGAGCGAATGCCTCGGCAAGATCAAACCCCAGCACTCGTTGAGGGATGCTACGAAGGAGGTCTTAAACACCGCCTTGGATCTCAACTTTGCTATTCCCGGTGACCCTGCTTTCCCCCTTAATCAGGTATGTTGGTCCTATTCTTACGTTATGACTCTGTGAGAAAGCTCTCCGTCTTTCGATACCGTCTAACAACACTCGTATGCAGATCTATGAGCCCCCGCGAGACAGACAGGACGCCGAGCAACTACGACAATACCTATCCCAGGTGCGGCAAGAGCTTGCTGCACGTTTATTAGCCAGAGTGTACGATGAGGAGGGGGACGGGAAGCCGAGCAAGTGGTGGTTGAGTTTCACGAAGAGAAAGTTCATGGGCAAGGCATTGTAAGGGGACGATCATACCTCTACGATAAATACAAGTACGGAATTGTCGCCTAAAAATAAGAAGAGTCTGTTCAATTTATGTGGAATTTGAAAGTTGGTCGGGAAGAAAATTGCATGTTATGGGGGTATCTTCATCTATACCATGCCTATGCGGCCAGAGTGACTAGTTTGGAGCTAGCCAATGCTAGAGAGCTATACCTTGTGTCTTATAAACCAGGCTCTCAAACGCCGATGAATGCAGTTTTTACTTCCATCACCCATCTAACCCCTTATTCTTTGGTCGTCTCATCCAGTTTTCTCTTCCTCGTACGAGCCTTGCCCCTAGCTTCCACCTTGCCTTCCGCAGGCTTGACTTTCCAAGCCGTGAAGACGTATCCTTCTGCTCCTCCCCGACTCGTCATCAGAGGATGTGTCCGTCCAGGAAGGACCTGCCACTTTCTAACGCGACTTGTCTGCACAGATGCTCCCAGCACGAGAGACGGGTTCAGTGGGAATTCGTCGTTTCCGGGCCACTGCTCCAACTCTTCCGGAGTCTTGCCCACTATTTCCTCTGGCGGCGTTGCTACCCAGGCACCACGGCGTGCTATGCTGTAGCAGTCAGCTAGCGCGGTTAGAGGTTCGATCGATTGCGAATAGATGGCGATTGGTGCGCCGCCGGCAAGAAGCGGTACCGCATGCCGCATTATCGAGATAGGGTCCATCGTGCTCGCGACTACCAACCCGGAGAACTCGCCCTTCCGCGTGGTGTTGATGATATAGCGGATTTTGGCCCAACGTCTACGTTTACGATGATAAGTTCCTCGGCGGTTAGCTTTCCATGTGCGGAGTACCGCAGGGGCGACGTTGGGTATCTCGGCTGCATACGTTGGATCTAACTCCGGCTCAACAAGCTGTAGCCACGAGATAGTCATTAGGTGTGAGGCCAAGGGGTGGTCTTGTTTTTGCGCTGGATTCGTAATATCGAAGCCATATTCGCGTAGGAAAGATAGATTAGGTTGTTGATTCGCATGGATGACGGTAAGGGTATTGGAGTGTGAGAAAGGCACTTTCAAGTCGTTCCCTCGCGACTTGCCGTCCCCCTGAGAGGGTCTTATCGCAATCTGAGGAGTCGACTTCGATTCTGTGGTATCCTCAGCCTGAGCCTGAGCCTCTATGTTGTGATTACCGTGTTCGCCACCCTTGTCTGACGGAGTATGACCTAGTTTTGTCGCGGCTTCTTGGTGTTTTGATAGATCTCCTTGGGGAGCGCTTGACGACGTTGGCTCATTTTCGTTCTTTAGAGATCCATTTTCAGGTGGGTAGAGTATACCCATTCGTTCTGCCATTGCCGCCACGAGAAGGCCGCCGGTGTCATCAACAGCAAGCCAACGACCAGCGGACTGTTCAAGATCCTCCTGTTCGTGGTCTGCGTCTTCGTCTTCAAATCGATCCTCTCCACCAAAATGCACATTACCCCAACATCCTATCAGTGCTATCATCTCATCCCTCATGTCCAAGATTTTGCTCGAGTCTTTCACTTCCAATTGCCAGTGGGTCAGCATAGGCACATCCATAGGCACTACGCAGAACCTCCTAATGTACTTCTTGGTCTTGAGGATTTTGTACTTGGCTAAAGAGTACTCCGTCTTCTGATCGATGGCGGTATGCGATATTAGTAGCTTTGCAATGATATCTCTGCCCGCATCGGTGCCATCTTTTTTTAAAGCTTCTATCTCCTCCGCACTAAGTGTCTGGCGTGCCGACGCATCGAGTTCCGCGCGATCGGTCCGGGCGACGACAGCACCAGACTCGGGATCCACAAGCGAGTATTCTATATCCGTCGGCAGCGAGTTTTCGGCATCTTCATCGTCGTTTATTATGGGTGTTTCTCTTTCGGGAGAGCCAGCTGATGTATCGGATGTTAAGATATCGCTATATAGCTCGGAGGCAGGTACGATGCGTAGCCGATTGTAGTTCTCCCCTGGCCGTTTATCTTGAAGCTCGTAGGTAAGATGGAATGGACGGTGTATTATCAGATTACTTGGGAATGACCCGTATTTCCCCAAAGATATAGTGCTATAGGACGCATGCTGTTAGTAAATGTGGTTTTCTTTGTAAGATATGCTGCAAGATAAAACCAGGTCCCGGTAGACAAAAACATACGTATTTGGAGTTACCTGGAGCACTCGAAGATTCCCAGAAGGAAGCTTGAGTGCAACCCAGGCATCGGGTTGGACGAACGAGTGCATGTCGAGTCCGGCCTTTGACTCGGGAGATTCACATGCGATATTGAAAATGGAAAGAAAAAAAATCGAGGTCGTACTAAAAGTTAATTGATCTTGGGCTGCAGATTTGCGACTGTAACCCCCACTGTGGGGTCAACCTACGTGGGGTAGAGCGACCGACATAAACCCCTGTACTTGCTATAGATCTGATCAAATTTAGATATAAATAGCTGCACGATGTACATAGTGATAATTCAAAACTTAAAATTGATGTCCTAATGTTAAAGGTACCATCTACACGCCTTTGAATAGAAATCATCCCATGATGAATAAATATTTAACCTAGTAGGAGATATGTTGTCTAATTAGAGCCTGATTCCAAGACTTCGGCCCTCGCCTAACCTATGTTTCACCAGTCATCTTGGTTTCTACGGTCTCGTCGAGAGGAGTTCATTTGAATAAAAAGCCTTCAATTTAATATCCAGAGGTATCAACCGCTAAAACTAGGTACAGTGTAACAAAAGAAACAGTCCCGAAAGATACATATATGGAGGTGCTAGCGACCGACTGCTTTGTGATTAGGTGAGTAATGATCGTAGATGTTTGAGACTTTACTTCCTCCCATTGACCTTGTTCTCATTATGTTCCCGCCTAGCCAACTCGCTGTTTGGCATTCTACCGAATTGCCACTCGGGCAGCGTGATACCTGTCTGGTCATGAATAGTCGACATGAGTGGGGGAAGGAGTTGGTAGACCTAAGTAGTATTTTGTGTTAACACATGTACTTTTTACTCTAATACGTCGTATTTTGGATACAGGTGTAAATGGATATGAACTTACGTTTCTAAGAGTTGAGGCGGTGTCTTGACCTTGACCTTGACCCCCAGCTCCAGATGATCCAGCTTCGGAACCCGTGTTCCAGACGCTGATCTTGGGTTGCATGCCGTTGACGGCGGTGGCATTGGCCTTCGCGAGCTCAACGTATGTGCCCTTCTCAATCATCACTACAAGGATAAAATTAGCAATCCCTTCTTGACGTGATTGAGGCAATTCGGCGTTAGGAGTTACTTACTGTATTGTAAGAGGCCAGCAGGACCGCCAAAAGCATCGCTCATCTTAGCGTAGGCATTAGCCATAGCCATCATACCTTCGGCTTCTTTCAGCTTCTTCTGCAAGTTAGCTTCGGCGTTCTTAATCGCCGCATCGCTCCAAGCCTCGGCATCCATCTTCGTCTTGTAGGCTGCCGCATCGGTGTTCTTCGTAGTCTTATTATAATCAGCGGCGGCTTGCGTTTCCGCGTCGACTTTGGTCTTGTAGGCCTTGGCGCGTGCTTCGGCTTCTACTTCGTATGCCCTCGCATCGGCAGCTTGCTGTTTACTTTCACGAGCGATGGCCGCCTTAACGACGTCAATGGCACGAAGACGCTCAAGTTCGGCGGCAGCGCGCTTGACTTGCACCTCTTTCTTCAGGTCTTCATCCCTCGACTCGGTTGCACGGGTCGCCTGGATTCTTGCGATTTCAACATCTCGGTGTAGAACCGTCTTCTGGGTTGCAAGATTGGCCTCAGCAGCTGCGCGCTCGACATCTCGGTCCGTCTTTTGGACGGCAGTTTCCGCGTTACTTCGAAGAAAAGGAGTTAGAGTTCAAACCCCAAAATGCGGAGATACTTAGATGTGAAGGGAGTAAATGGGGGGCAAACCTACATCTTGGCAATCGACCGTTCCTGCTGGCCGTGTCTTTCTGCCTCACCAACGTTACCTCTCAGCTGGGCTTCCGCGACATCAATCCGAGCTTGGTTGGTGGCGCCTTCGTGGGCCTTCTGGGAGAGGGATTGAAAGTATGTGGAGCCAACAGCATCTTTTAGTTCCTTAACGTTGGCGTTGTAAATCTTGAGACCAAACTGATCGAGTTCACCCTGGATGTTGCGGAAGATTCGGCGCTTGAATTCCTCCCGTTCAGTAAAAATCTCTTCCATAGTCATAGAAGAAACCAAAACTCGAGTCTCGCCCTCGATAATACCCTTCACAATGTTTTCGAGGTGCTGCGAACCTTGCTTATTGGCCGTGGATTCGGCCAATAACATGGCATATTTCATCAAAGAATCGCCACGGTCTTCGTCGTTGCTGTGGTTATGTCCATGCTGGTCTCCGTGGCCATTTGCGTTAGGCCTAGGGCCTTTCGCATTGGCTCCTCGGTTGTTAACGTCCCTATTTTCAAGTCATTAATTTCTATGTTTTGTTTTCAAGGGTGGACAACACATACGGTCCGATGGTGAAGATGACAGGGAGAAGAAACTGAAGCTTCTCCTTTGTCATAGCTACGCAGAGAAGTTAGATATATTCTAATATGCATGTTTCGATAGTTGGAGGTTAAAATACCTTGAAGGTTCATAGCATAATCGTGAGGTTGAACTGAGAAGCGTGTGCATCTTTGAAAGGGCAATACCCAAGCAGCTTTAGTGATATGAACATTCTTGATGTTCATGCCAGTGATGGCAAGGTACTCGTCGGGAGCAGCGACTCTGTACGACATGATGATAGAATTTCTACTGAGTTGAATATACCAAATACTAAGAAAGGAGAGTGAGTCTTAGTGGTGTCTTCGTGAATTTGAGAGTTATCCAGAAGATAGGAAAAGGAAGAGAGCAGATAGATAAGACAGGGGAAGTAGAGGCAGGTCAAAGAGTTAGATAAAATAGCAGTTAATAGATCATACAGAAAACGAGATTGATACAATTGAATATTCAAGTTAGATTAAATAAGGGGTACCGATAACTGCTGAGAGAGGCTGAAGTCAAGCTAAAGCGCAGAGACGACAAGACAAGGTTGAAACTACTAATAAGAATAGACGATCTTATGATTAGTTGAAGTTAGCGAGAAAGTAGGGACTATATGTTAGGCATATCTTGTGAAGTCCCATCTTAATTTAGTAGGATGTGTTCCCTTGAAACTGTCTATTTAGTAGATTATTAGCATGTTAGAATAGCCAATCCAGCTTACCCATCCAGTCTTCTTTACTAGGTACCTAGATGCCGTATTCCCATATCCATACGCAGGATGGCTGTCGTTGATTCACCACTGACAGCAGTTGACTAGGAACCCAGGGACATAGCCTCCCTTCGTGACTCGATAATCTGATGCTTAATCTCCTGACCGAGGTAACTGCGCAAGGCATACTGCAGTGTTCTGCAGTGTCACGCTAAGCAGTCTTAGCTACATGAATCCGGGAGCTATCCAGGGATATAAGACATAGTGGTCGGGCGAAGCTGTGCCCTGCTTTTGTGTGTCATTGAAGCACATGGAGGGTCATGAGGAACTTCGGATGGTCTAGGGATTAGTTCCGTTCGATTAATAGATGACCCGGGATCTGACGTGGTACTTTTCAAGTGGGCCCCATTTTTTTCTGGAAGCTTTCTTTAATCACTGAATCCACTAAGTTGAAGCTCAGCTTGCAGGCGCTGCTGCTGGATAATGCCCTGTGCGGAAGCTTCGTGTGGGGAATTCCATCATTCCCTTTGTGTTACCGGAGGCTGGAAACTTCCCTAACTCTATTTTACCCACCTTCAAGCTCTAAAGCTCTTAGCCATATTGTTTCTACCTACTTAGTAAGCTTACCTAACTTTTCATTTCTATACTACTCATCTATCAAACACGTGTTGGATTCACGGTTCTCCGTGGCGAATCCATGGATGTGATCAGAAACCCGACAATCCGTGCGTAGGAGCCTGACTATGTGGCTCGGGTGGCTTCTCAATTGAAGGATCGATTTCACTTCTGGGCACTATCTTCTCTCATCCTTCCGTCATCATCGTCGCTCGTCTTTCACTCCTACTCGTCTATCTGTACTCGGCAACCCGTTCAATTCCGAATTTTGTACAGATCGATCGTTTTATAGCCGGGCACTTTTCTGATGATTTCAATTCCCCAGAGTCCTACGCATCTTAGAGGATGCATGCATTATGCATTTTAACACCCAAGGCGCCGTCACATGAACCTCCTAGACTTCGATTGGCCAATTGCAAACAACGCATATGCTGCGGGGAGAAAGGATTCCTCCCAATTGACCATAGATACCCCAAACCGCAATAGGGGTTCGGTCAAGGATTCATATGGATTACGCGAGGGTGCCATACCTAACTAAGCGTCTGGGCTCAGATGCCTACCTAGTTATCTTCCGAACATCTTATAATCTTCTTGGCCTTAGATGCTAGTTGGTTGTAAGGCTGATTTTGCATCTTATACCCAGAAACTTGATACGGATATCGGTATCTGCGGCTGATCTACACTAGGTAACTATCTCCTGACTTCAAGTGTAACAGTTGGTCACTAGACGTCGGTAGTTTCGGACGGATGTGTAATTGGGATCTTGTCTCCCTGGGTCCTCTTCATCTCCCTGATTCATCCTGCTACATGCATAGCTTAAACGTAGACCGTTTTCCATCGTCTCATTTCCCTTACTACACCACCACCTACGCCACCTTACATACGCTGCACTGACTACATGAAAAGCATATTACGAGATCTACCTTATTCTAAAATAAGTTTCACTTTAATCCTAGGGTCTCCTTCAGGTTGGGTTAAATTATTCTTAACTGCTAGGTACTAAGTAAATGAACCTGCTGGTTCCAAGTCGTTCGGGTCTCGATCATAATCGCGGCCACCTAGCGCGAAATATCAAAGTTTGGCTGGGCTGAGTTAAGCTGAACCGCCCATTCCTCTTTTCATCTCCAAAGAACGCACAATAAGGTATCCACGACAACTATATATCCGTCTAGACTAGTTAGAATACATTCGTTATTTCCCAACTTGACGGCGGTGAAGGCTTTGGAGATCAAGATGGATGGCAAAATACCTCTGGATGAACCTCCTCCTTATACTCCACTTCCAACGAATCATTCGATCTCAGATGAATTTCAGTTGAACTCGTTGACTTATCACCTACAACATCACGTGTCATCCCTCCCAGATCGTATCCGAGCGACGCAGCAAGTTCGAAAAGCCGAACAAACACTTAGTGATGCGTCCCTATTAGATCACATCGTCCCTATTGTTGAGGAGTTCTTGGCCGACCTGGGGGCTCGGCACAGTCCCGTCCCACTAGCTGCTCTCACTTTGGTACCGGATGCAGCGGTGCCTAGGAATGCAGTTCTTAGTGGCTTGGAAGACATGAAACGTCGCGGAGAGATATGCCGTGTGTCTAGAATCTCTATGGATAATACTAGCAAAGACTCAAAGTCTAGCTCTGGCGCCTCTAGGTCTCAAAGTACCAGTGAAGACCCAAGCTGGACTCCGGGACAGGAGTTTAGCGGTTGGGGTCGATTTGGCGAATTAGATTCCCCAAACGACGATACGGAGCAAAATAAGATGCTGTGGTGGCGCGACGAGGAGATGGCACATCGTCTAGCAACCTACCTACAACCAAAGCAGGAAAGGAAAGCGCCCGTGGTGCAAAGATCAGTGGTACAGGCCGTGGTAGAGCATAGGATACCACCGAAGAAAGAAAAGAAGGGCTGGCTCTGGGGAAAACGCGCGAGTGTTCAAACATCATCCGAAGCTTCATCAACACCTACGGAAACCGAGGCTGAAGTGGATATACCACAAGAGAAAAAAGGAGCTGAAATGACCGTCACAGCTCAAGAGGTCGCCTTTCGCCAGGAGAACGAGCTTGGGATATGGGAGAGTTTTCGTGGGTGGGGTATCGTAGTGGCTGTGAAAGTCAAAACTTGATGCCAACATGTTGTGTTAATAGAATTTGCATGCCAGCCCTATTTATGATTAGGTACCTTGTCTAGGTGTTCTTGATCATAGGATGCTTATATATATCGTTTTTATTGTATATAAGCTACGAAAGGGGTAAGGGGGTAAGGGGGTAAGGGGAGCTATTCAAAATGTTCCTAAACTACAACCACAGTTCGTGTTTTCCCTAACTTTTTGAACATAGAAAGGCCATAAGATATTTCAAGCCCCCACGGAGGACTGAATACGCCTACCCGATGAAATAGCCCCCTTGAATGGGGCACCTGACGTAAGATGAGACCGAATGCTCCGTCCCCTAGTCCATGTTCCCAGCAACACTTCCCGAGTAATACCCACTGCAAGGATCCGATGTGCTGAATGATTGCTTTACTCTCATTTGTACCGTAGCAGCTTTTGTCACGGACAAGCTTGGTATATCGAAAGTCTAAGATGAAGCGCCCGACGACTTCTACGTTATACCGCAATTCATAGGGGTAGTATGATTCGATGCAGCCTTCGCTAATGATGGAGATGGCATCCCTGTCCAAACAAGCAAAATCAAGGATTCTGCCTCTGATAGTGAGCTTGCCTCCTGTAATGGCTCCGAACGGATTCCCACTTTCCAGGTCTGTGGTTGCGTGTAGAAGTTGTGTCGCGGGTCGGATACCCTTTAGACGCCAATCATACTTCCAGTTCCCTTGCGGATAGCCTCGACCAAGTATGCTCCATGACGGAACGGTATAGCAGCCATTAAAGGGCAAAATTCACTTTCGTGGGGGGGGGGGGGGGGGGGGGGGAAAAAAAAAAAAAAAAAAAATAAACCACGAACCAACAAAAGGTTGTGAGAGTATCCTTAAGCCGCAACACACAAAAAAAGGGA